AATTAAATTCATCTATATATCAGAAGCCCAAAATTAAGGGAAGTGTTTTCAAAGATTTGGAGGGAATTTGAATATACATGCACACACATATGTGTCTGTACACGTTAAGAACATCTCTACCCATACAGCCATCTATACGTACATATGCATAGATACCTACATACATACATATACAAGCCAATGTGTATCTATATATAACCCTATATTAGAATAAAATATTTTCAAAGGGTAATAAAGAGTTAAGTTAAATTAAAAAAACCTTTAGAAATTTTTTTTAAATGGGCATTATCTCAACCACAATTAAACAAAATTATAAGATGAAAATGAAATAATTGTTAAATATGAATGTATAACCATTAATTATTTCCCTTATATATATATATATATATATTCCAAGGTCACTTCTTCAATCCCATAATCTAATATGTAAGTAACCCTTTAAAACTACTTATTAAATTCATATATTAACGTATGTACCATATATTAAATATTAGAAAGCCTTATGATGATAGTAAAATTTGATTACTTAAGATTGGATATACTGAATGGTTCATAATAATTATATATAGGATGTAAGAATTACATTTTATATATATATATATATATATATATATATATATACACACATATATATCCAAATTTAAGAACTCATATAAACTTCATAAATAAATGTTATTACATGATATTTAATTAACCTAAAGATTATTTAAATTGTTTATTATTATATCATAACTCACTGTAGTGGAAATTTAATGCCTATATGTATTGTATAGCGAAACTTAAAGATGAGAAAAAGAAAAGGTCTATAAACATTATTAGGACAAACAAAGAAAAGGGAATTGGAAAATTTAGAAAGGATATTATTGATAATAGATGGGAGTCTAGGTAAGCTTAAATCTACTGTGGTGATGGCATTTAGAAGTTAATTTGTTCCTTTGGTTTAAGAGAATCTTTTGAGATTCTTATTTTCTTCTGTAGGCATAGATTGCATCTACCTTTAAAGCTATTAGGAATGTGGGCAAACCCTATTATTTTCCAGTCAGTCTGAAGGTTCTGTTTTTCTCCCTCAATTCCAAAAAATTTTTGGAAAGTGTAGTTTGGCAGTTTAATTTGGGGTTGGAAAAATGAGTGCCGATGAGTATATAGATGCTGCTTCCATTCTCCCATGGAAATTCCAATATAGATATTGTCTATGTTCTTGTTCTCTTTAGGTAGATTGTTGACTAGTAAATAGTATCTTTCGATTTTCAAATTTAATTTTCTCCTGTAGGCATAGATTAAAACTAAAAAAATCAAACATTTTAAAAAATAACCATACCCTCAGGAAATTCTTCAATAGAAGAACAGTCAAAACTATTTATTCCTGTACAAATAATATGTTGAAAATTATCAAATCCCATAATAAAGCTATTCTTAATAAATTTTATGTCATCCACAATTCACCTAGTATGTAAACCCCATGTAACTGTAGAAACTGAGATCATTGCCCAGTGGATGGTAAATGCATGCATTTTCCAAGCCCAAACTGAAGTGCCAAACTACACTTTCAAAAACTTTTGGAATTGAGGGAGAAAAAACCTCAGACTGACTGGAAAATAATAGGGTTTGCCTGCACTCCTAATAGCTTTTATGAGTTCTTAAATTTGCATGCATATGAATATGCATGTGTATATGTATGCACACACACACACACACACACATATATATATATATATATATATATATATATGTGTGTGTGTGTGTATATATATATATATAATATATATATATATGTAAAATTCTTATATCCTATATATAATTATTATGAACCATTCAGTATATCCAATCTAAAGTAATTAAATTTTACTATCATTATCAAGAGTTTCTAATATTTAGTATATGGCATATGTTAATATATGAATTTAATAAATTTTAAAGGATTAAAATACACATACCAATACATATTAGATTACAGGATTGAAGAAGTGGCCTTGGAATATATATCTAAGGGAAATGATGGTTATACTTAACAATTATTTTTATTTCATTTACATTTTTATCTTAAAATTCTGTTTAATTGCCGTTGAGTTAATACCCATTTTAAAAAATTTCTAAAGGTTTTTTTCTAATTTAGCTTAACTGTTTTTATTACCCTTTGAAAATATTTTACCCTAACATAGGGTTATATGTAGATTCATGTTGGTTAGTATATGTATGTATGTGCATGTATGTAGGTATCTATGCATTTGTACATATTGATGGCTGTATGGGTAGAGATGTTCTTAACATGTACAGATACATGTGTCTGTGCATGTATATTCAATGTATGTAGGTCAATTCATCAGGTTCCCTTCTCTCCTCCTGCCCACTTACCTCCATAATATATTATCCCACATTGCTTCATATAACTATGCCTTCTTCTGTCATCTATTCCCCTCCAATGCTCTCTCTCTCTCCTCCCCAACTAACCAGTCTCCTACAAACTGACACCATAAACATTTTGAAAAATCCTCCAAATTTAAAATTTGTAGGTGAAAATGGTCATTAACTAATGGTATCTTAATTCCAATAGTAGGAAAAATGTTGCTATGTTTAATAAAAATAAACATTAAGCACTTTTTATGAGTCAGTTTTAACATTTAACATTCTATATTGTGTTAATTAGGACTTGCTTGGCTTATACCAAATGGATTATACCTGTGTGTGTATATATATATATATATATATATATATATATACACACACACACACACATACTTTAAGGGGTTAATGTGCATTGTAATATTGTATTCCTTCTCCACATGGGTGGCAAAAACACTAGCTACGCCACTGAACTTCATACATTGGCCCCCACAAGGAAGAGGTCCAGCTATTACTGGACCATGTGAATTCCATAAGCCATTGTTACAGTTCACAAAGGAGAAAGATAATAACAACAAACTAGCATTCCTGGATGTACTTATATCTCAAACAGACCATGGGTTAAAGATATCCATATACCATAAGGCAACATTCACTGGACAATACCTCAACTTTGACTTCCACCACCCATACACTGTCTATTACATCAAGTTGTCATAAGTGACAGCCCAGAGACATATGAACAAGAAATGGTCAGTATTGTGATGATAGAAAAATTTAAAGTTCACTATTTCAAAAAGAAAAAATTGAAAACTAAAATTTGGCAAATCATTTTGGTTTGCCATAAAAAATAAAAACAAAGATAAGAAAAATTAAATAAGAGGACGAAAGGTCATCATTTCTAAATGTAGGTGAAGAAAAAGAGATGATCAAAAGAGTCACATCTGTGAAACAATCAGAAATTAAGAAAAAATTATGGAATGAATTCCTTTGTCTTTTTTTTTTAAAGACAGAGATGACCAGGCAAATGAACCAGAGTTGATGAAATAATTTTGTTTGTTCTCTCATGCCTTATATTTTCAGACAACTAAAAATCCCATAGAGTCAAAAGGATTACTACTATCAAAGAGATACTTACTTACACATTTACAAGGACATTCTTCTCCCTCTTTATTATATGCTAAAGTACTTAGACATTCAACATGAGAACTTTCTGATTTGAACTTATGAACTCTTTAAATATTGGATATTTTAAGAGATATCAAATTTTATCAGTACATGCAAAATATATCTTTGTACTAATTATCTTTGCCTACATTTTTACAAAGGCCAAAAATTGGTGTTTAGTTGGATTAAGGACATTATCTGAAGATAACACCAGTAAACACATAACCCTCTTGTAAGCAACCTCCACAGTATAAGCAATTCCTTACAACATAACTACCCTGGGTAGATGACAATAACAACACTCAGAAAACAGCTTCAGTTTGCCTGCCCTACGAGAAGTGCTAATCAGAAAAGATACATCAGGACAACCTTCAAGAGTGGTTCCCCACTATAGACATCTCTTCCAAGTAAGACAAACCATAGAGGAGAACATGATTAAGGACTGTGTGTACATGCAGCTGTGGCAAGAAATATAAGGGAGGACAGGCTACCTTCTTAGTCTTAAGATAAGACTGCAACACAAGTGGAAATAGAACAATCAGGCATGATTGACCACATATGGAAAGAAATGGGCGATCACTGTCATCTGTGCAATTCAAATAATAGACAACATCATTGAAAAAATACAAAAGCTCAAGGAATCAGTGTATATGCTAGGCTACAAAAATCTATAAACATACAGAGAGCTAGAGAAAAATAATAAAAAAAAATGGTTACTGAGACATTATGAATTCATTACCTGGCCACAGCAGAGGAAACAAAAAATGTTATCAAGGGGAATTAACTGAAAGTGAGATATCCAAAGGCATGGAATGTGGAATTAGAACAATCTATCCCCATAAAGGATTTGGTTTGAAATTCCAAGAAATATCACCTGAAAAAGGTCAGAGCATACAACGGTCAAAATGTTGTGAATATGGCAATAAAGATGAGGACAACAGTATGGACAGTATAAATTGTGACAGAATTATCATTTAAATAATTCTTTGTCCATTACTTTGATAGATCCAAAGCTACTACAGAATATTACAAATACTCTGTATAGACATATTTGTAATTTCTTATTTTTGGTCAAGAATATTTGAAAAGTGAAATATAATATTAAAAAAACTGTTCTCCACATGTAAGTTTACAAAAAAGTCAAGGATGTTTTACATCACAAATATTCCACTATAAAATCCAATTCATTTTTTACTGGGTATAAAATGGGAAATCTATTAATCTGAATATGGAAAGGACTGACTCTTAATACTGATTATAAAAATTTTAATCTCTCTTATTATCTCAATTACCAGCTGTTTAGAGACAAAAAAATGATTCATCAAATGAATGTGTTCATAAAGTTTTATTTAAAAAAATGTCAAAGTACAATTCTTTTCTTAAATGTTTTGTTGAACATAAAATGGTGGATGTAATTTCTTCCAAGTCTCAAACAAAGGTTTTCCGTCATTTCAGCCAAGTGCAAAAAAACAAAATATCAAATATGATTTGTGTTATGAAATTGAAGCCTGAAGTGCTTGATATGTGGATGTCCAATGTTCCAATTCTACAAGGACACTCATTTCAAGTGCAGACAAATGAGAAGATTCATCTTCATTGGTTCCCTTTGAATGGGAACCTTGTTTCCCTTTTTTCATCTCTGGAGACTTTCTTGCTGTCAAATGAAAATGATACACGAATGATTACAATAATTTTTATATATGTAAAATTCAGAATATTGATACAATATTAGTACAAAGCTAATATGAATATACATGCTAATTTAATAATTTATGATAATTTTAGTTGGTTGCAATTTACATTATTTAGAATCGTGTTACTGTTAATTCAGCAGACTTAATGTGTAATACAACTGTGACTCTATGTGACACCTTTTTTTTTTTTTTACCAGAGTTAATTTGGAATATAAACTGAAACAGTAGAAAAAGATTAATTTAGAATATGAATGGAACAGACATAATTGAAAGTGACCTATAGATTATGTTCACTTACAAAAATATGTCTCATGATTCCCTGGTGGAAAAAAAAAAGAGATCATTTTGTAAATTGAGCATATTATTTGATAATATTTGAAGGTGTGGACAGGTTGAGAGATAGGAATTGAAAAAAAATAAATGCAACTGAAAGGTTGTCTGCCTGGTAACCCGAGGGTGGTGGAAGCAATGACTTGGTTGGGGATACGCTAGACCAGACCAAGCCTGTGAAAATGATATTTGTTATGGAAAGTCAATGATTAAAATAAGACAACCCCTTCACTCACTCTGTTTAAAATTAGAATTGTCAAGACAGTTGAAACCTCCCCATGGGGATGGTCTCAGATGAAATACCAAGAGAGGAGGAGAAAAGAGGAAAATTTACCTCCACCCATTTGGAAATAATAGTGTGAGGCATGAATAAGAGAAGGTATGAGTTATACAGGCAGGCCAATTCCTGTAGCCACCACCTGTCATGGAAGACAATTTCCTAAGATTTGGAGAGTTAGTTAATTTGAGACCAAACAGCAAAGAGATCTTGTTGGAAGATGGGGAAACCCCAAATCCCCAGACACCATAAACCCCATGTCAGTCTTGGGTCAAAGTCAATATAAGCAGAGTGCTTTGGGTGAATTAACATTTAGTTGGAGTGTCAGCCAGAGAGAGGAGACAACAGCAGAAGGAGCTGTTGAACCCCATGTGACCTACCACCAAGAGAATTCCTAACTTGAGCCTTGTTCTAGAATTAACACTGAAAGACAGTGTCACTATAGAGAATTGCAGTGGGGAGGGTTAATTTTGTACACCAAAAAACTATGTAAAACCAAATCAAAAATTGACCCAAGTCTCTGTTTTTGTTTGCATGGTTTTTGCAAAATGACATTCCTTTATATATTTTACAACATAACCAGTTCACTGAGATTTGACTCAATGCATTGATCACTACTATAATCAATTCTGCCAACTCTATGATCAAAAGCACAATGTGAGCACAGTTCAGTGGGCCCAATGATATAGCAACCAACACCAGTTGAATTACGATGGTGACTGCATGTCATGGGAGTGTTTGAGAAGTTCAAAACCAGAGTTGACCCTGACCCAATGGATTATACAACTAATTTACCTTTTGCTTGGCTCTGGGCACGAGATGAGGAATTGGTTTTCTTATTTCCCTTGGTATCCTTTTTCAAATTCTAAGGAATAATAAAAAAAAAATTAAACACTTGTTGTTGTAATGTAGAAAAAAAAGCTCCTACTTGATTTAAGAATTATGCATGCAGGCAATAAAATCTTAAACAATGTAATTGTTTCAATACATAGAGCTTCCTTACATTAACATCATGAAACTTAATAAGTGGGTAATATTTTATTGTTTGAAAATGTTTATATATATATATATATATATATATATATATATACACAAACACATGACCATCTGATGATAATAATTCCTTGTTTCAGATTATAGTATGATGATTAGAAAAGCTCTACTAAAAATGGCCAAGATGTCCAGCAATCTAACAATCCTTTATGAATGCAGAGATATGAAACTGATCTGACCTGACTTATAGAACAAAATATTCATCAATTCCAAAAGACCACAAATGAAAGAATGGAGAATCCATATAACTGATGGATGATACTATACAATGTTTTCACAATTTCTAATGTTGCATTCTTATCACTCAATGACTTTTGACTAGTTTTTTAATGTTATATCTTTCTTATTAGCCATGAAAATCTTTATATATGTGAAATTAAAAAATAAGTATCAATAACTATACTATTCTAGAAATTTATTTACAATATGATGAGTGACCCTTGAGCTATATAAAATCTGAACACTACCAAATAACTTATTGTAAATATTTCTAATAACAAGATATTATGAACTTAGATTCACATGATATATTTATTGTATAAATTCTGAAAATTTTCCAAACATTAGTTGGTTTATTGCAAAAATATTGATTTGCATAATAAAATCTGATATAGTGTAGAATTAAAAAGATGTATAATCAAGAATTCAGGCCAAGTGAGATTTAATGTAGAAATTATAAAAGTAGAAAGATGCAACCTGTATAAGCAGTCATGAACATGAGTAAACACCAATTAAATATCTATGAGGTAACAAGTGTCTCAACTTTACAACAATTATCAGGCAACCAGCACTCTTTTCTTTGACAATGATGTAGGAGCAAGTCTGAGTAAATCAATGTGTAATGATAGTTCCTCATGTAAAAAGTTCAAACAAAAACTATCAGATAAGTTGGATATGATAGCCACAAGTAGGCTGCCATGAAAATGCCTAGAGGCCCTGTTGGAGGAAGTCAGGCCTTCCAAACCAAACATTACAAGAGATGAAAGAATGGCTATCAAAACTCTGCAAGAAGATAACAGCATTCACAGTTTCAGCAGACAACAGACAAGTCAGAATATTCTGACAAACTGGCAACTGCCATAGATGGGGCTTTATCACTGGTTTGGAATACTTTTAAATTTGACTATTACCTTTGTAAACAAATTGATAACTTAAAATTCTGTATTTAATCAATAAAATTCTAAAAAGGAAAAAAAATACATGCCTTTCAGAAGAACAGCATTTATACTTTGGTTATGTCAGGAAGATGTGAAAGTATTTTTGTGAGAATAATTACAATTTTAAATGGAAAAGGAAATAAACTGGTCTTTATAAATTTACTAAATTGTAGAGATAAGATTCTGTCTATCATAAGCCAACATTCACAGGACAGTACCTGAACTTCTAACTAAGAATACATTGTGAAGACAAAACTTCTTATTACTTATGACAAGAGTAAAAGTTATAAGTGGTAACTGAGACATATACCAATAAAAAATGATCAACATAAGAAGCACTCTACAAACAAATACCTTGCAAATATTATAATATTGGTTTTTATTAGCATAGGTGCAAGGACAACTGTCATGGTCTTTTTACCTTACATTCATGGTGTGTCGCAATTTAATAAACAACTCCAAGATCTAGTGTTGACTGCAACTGGTGCTTTTCATACTAGAAAAACTATGATAACATCCAGACTGGCATTTAACAATTTAGATACAATGTAGTTCACATTGTTACTCCTTGAAATAGATGATAAATGTTTGAATATAATTTCTGATTTTTTTCTGATATGGAAGTTCCAATTTACTTGTCTCAAATGCAGCTAGTCCACACTTTCCCTTTCATCTTAGTAACTACAGAATGCCTCACAAAAAAATTTAGATTTACAATATGATGAAAAAAAAAATTAACTAACATAAAAAATGAACTTTTAGTTTGAACACCACATCTAATGTTTGTGTTCTGTTTTAAACTACTAAATTTCTATCCTTTTGCTTTTGTTTTGTTGTGAACCCTGTATAACTAGTCTTTTGCAACAATATTAAATTGTAGTTAGAAAATTACAGTAAATCCTACATTCTGCCAAGGTACAATAAAATGCTCATTTTATTTTCATTGTTAGTTTAAAATAACCTCATAGAAACACAATCAAAAAAGGTATAAATATCAACTTTTTGTTCAACAAACCTTTTAAGGACTTACAATTCATTTTTGATTAACTGTGACCAGAGATTAAATATCTCTCAAGAGAATGTTTTAATTTGAAAGAATTCAATATTTTATGTGTTTTAATTTTTGTTATTATACATTAACTCTTTCCAATCCATTGTCATAAATAAAAAAAAAATTGAACAGCATTAATTCATAAGAATCTATTTCACATTTTATCTTTCTCTCTAAATCTTTCATTTTGTTTTGATTTCATTTTTCTGTCTTCCTCTCATTCTCTTTCACTGTTTCTCCTTATTTTTGTTTCATTCCCTCTTTGTCCCAAGTAAAAGAAACAACGATACATGGCCTTTACACTCAAAACCTATTCATCCTTTTATATTCAGCTGTAACAATTTCCTTAATAGCCATATTGAAATAGCTCTCAAAATCATTGTTAACCTATCTTAACAAATTCTGTTTCATTTCTAGTATTAAAGAGTTTAATAATGAATAATTGAATCTAGTTAAATGAACAAATTAAAAACACAACAAAAATATCCCAACATTAAAATTTACAATGATTTTTACTTTTTAAGAATAAAGATAGGGGCATATGCATTGATTTGAATGAGAACATAAAAAGTTCATTTTTAATAGAATACTTCCAAAAAGTATTTAAAAGAAAATATGACTTGATAGCTTTTGAACTTCAAGTGTAAGATGGAGAAAATATTGTACTTTCTGATATATCTTTCCTACTTGACCTTGGAAGTACATTGAGAGCCTTATTATGTAAATAAAACCTCAGTTATTGTTATTTTAAGTAGTCATACAAAACAACCGTCAACAAAAATCTTTATCAACTATACAGATAGAAAAACTTTTGAAATGTCATTTTTTTCCATAAAAATTCAGACTTACTGAGACATTCTCATTAAATGTACCCAACTGACCTTTATTGAAACTCCTTCAAGGTTAGTGTTGTATATTTCTTTTATAAATTTCTCCTCTACGCTGTGTTCTCCATGGAGAAATGGTTCCAGGTTGAGATAAAATGTGGCTATATCCTTAAACTCTGGGGATGACCAAATAACATTTTCATTGGAAATTTTGTTCTTCTTGTCTTTACGTTGACTGTTCTGTAAAATAATACATCTTTAATAACATCTTTCAGCAAATATAAAATTTTTATATTATGAATGAAACTTTTGTTACAGTCATGAGACAAGCAGGTATTTTTGTGTGATTGGGTAAGATACTGTATTATAGAATGTGTTCCAAAATTGAATTTATTCTATTAAGGAAATAGTGACTTTCAATTTTAGTGCAAGATTATGCTGAAAATTTGTATTGTAACAATATTTAACATGGTGTATGGATGAAAAGGGATAAAACAAAAACGATTTTAAATTTTTGTCAGAAAGAGAATTATTTTCCCAGGATATGGGAATAGATGTATGAATTTTGTTGGAAAAGTTAAACAAAGCAATACAGTAAACAGGTGCAGGATCAGAGGCCAGAGGTTAAGGTTGGCTGTTGAAAGATGTCTGGCTTGACTACATGCTGAGAGGTTGTCAGCCAAAATTTCCCTGAGAAAAAAAATTATAATTATAAACAGAACAAAGGCAGAAGATGATGTCATAAAGGCTTACATCATATGATGGCTCTTCCTGAAGAAGGAGGGGATCTTCCAAAATTGGAAATGTGAAATAGAAAATGAAAGAAAACTGTTTGAATTTTAGGAGATTTGCATAAAACCCACCTATTCGTCCACACCACACCAGTTTAAAGGAACAACTAAAAATACAAGTGCCCACGTGGGCCAAAGTTAGTTGGGCTCCGTTAGTTGGAGAAGTTGGATTTGGAGAAAGTTGGAGCCAGCCAGTTGCAGTTGCCGAGGCGTAATGATAATAATAATAATAATTATCTGCTGAAGAAGAAAAACTCTGACGAATAATCTTGTGCCGTCCTTGAAAGTACATGAAGTTAAACCCACTTGTCGCTGAAGATTAAACCTTGAGTCATACTGGAAATTATAAATCACAGTACTTGAAGTTAAAACCAGTTGTCGCTAAAAAAAAAACTCCAACGATAAACCTTGTGCCGTCCGTGAAAGTACAAATCACAGTAATTGAAGATTCTTCAAAGAAGCTACTCGCAATTTTTGTTCCATTGCCAATTATTAGAACTGGTTGGGAAAAGAAGAAAAAGAACAAAGAAAGAACTGTAAATATTTTTTTTATTCTGATATAAACATCATATTGTGACTTATTTGGGCGTCATCCATTTTATTTTTCAAATTTGTATGCACGTGTTCAACTCCTTGGTTTAGCATAGTTAAGATACCCCAGTGGAAATTCAGCTTGACCCCCTTAAGGTCAAAATTACAACGTGGGTAAGAGAGGTCACAGTTGAAGAGGTTAACTTTGAAATCAGCTGCTGTGTCAAACGCCATCAACGACCGACGAGTGGGCTGGCGACCTGTTCTCTGATACCAGGATTGATCCTGACCAAGTGAGCAGACCAGGATAGACCCTGAGTACCGCCATACCTGGTGACCAAAGCAGACCGGACCCTGAACAACGTCATATTTGGGGGCCATGACCAGGCCGTGGCCTGGAGCAATGTCATATAATTGGTTACCGCAGGCAGGCCGTGTCCTGAATATGTCATATTTGGCAGGCTGCAGCCCTGAATACATCATAGCATAATTAAAAATATATATATACAAAACTTTTATAAAATATTACTTGTGTTAAATGATTCTCATATTCCATATCTGCATTAATTTATAAGCAATTAAGCTAAGGACTCTTGAAGTAGTCAATAGATACTTTGTTAAATAATTAATGCATCTGCTAGTGTTTTCATAATAAAATTGGTATTAGCCAATCAATGTTGTCAATATTTTCAAGCTATACTTATATTTATATGATAAATGTACGCTATGAATTTCAGTTCATAATATCTGTTATTAGAAATATTTACAACTTATTTGGCATTGTTGACATTTTATTATACCACTTGAGGGTTTCTAATCATATTATAAATAAACATATATAAATAATGTTTATTTTTTAATTTCAGATCCATATAAAACTGCCATGGGTCTTAAGAAAGATATAACCTTAAAAGAAAAGCAAAAGATTGTAAAACTAATTTTTGAAATGATGAAAATTAAAAACATTGGTAAGATCTAGAAAGAATGTGTTTAAGAGAAAAACTAAAGCAAGAAAAGAGGATTGACCAACAAGAAATAATTGATAAAGCTGGTGTTGCAAATGTAAACAGTAAAATGTAAACTATTAAGAACATGAAAGCAATAAATGTATCACCTTTAAGTATGTAAACATCAGAAAAAGAAATGTGTAAGACAAGCAAAGAAGTACGTGAAAACTGATTTCTTAAATTTTAGTGATTAATACAGAATTGAATAAACCTGATTGATAGGCTAGAGTTTAGATCATTCATGAAAATGCTCAACCAATAAAACAATGGGAAAGTGGATTAATGTTTGTGACTAGTATAAACAGTGAAATTATTGGCACTTTCAAAATATCAAGATAAATGCAGAAAATTATTGTTAATTGTTAGACAACACATTTTTGCTTGTGTGATACAGATTGCAACAAAGATGCTTTAAACTAAAAAGTATATTCATGTAAGACAATGCTTCTTTATATACTGCAAAACTGACCATGTCAAAAGTTTCAATCTAACAGTGTACATCTGGGTTTTTAACCTGGGCTATTTTTTTTTTTTATTTGTTTTTCCAATATTTTACTAATTAGTGCTAGTACTTAGAATTATTTACTCAAATGTATAGTAGAAGCAGCAACTATTTATATTAAAGCTGTCTTCAAGTCATTTATATGAGCTCTGAAAGCCTGGAAAAAGTTATGTAAAATGTTCCTATAGACCTTGAGTAACAATAATAAATACAGCCAAATCTCAATTACATTTGGTTAATTTACTTATTTTTTTTACTTATCTGTGATTCAGTAGAGAAAATTTTTATTTGTTTTTAAAATATTTTTTTTTAATATCAGGAAATGCTTTGTACATTTCTTAGCATTAACCCATATTTTCTTTAAAAGTCATCAAGACTGAATATCTTTAATAATAATAATTTATCAATAAATGAAACTCCAGATTTAGTTTCCAATATTTTTATAAAGATATAATCTTTTTTAAGTGTATTTGTGCAAGTAGCAATTGAGAACCAGTATAATATAACCAGATCACTTTGTATTGTTACGTTAACCCCAGATTTGTAACCTCACCTCAGATTTTATAAGTATATTTTCAGTACCTTGTGTATTTGCGACGAAACATATGAATCTTAATAACTTCTTTATTTCTTGAATATGCAGATTGTGAGATATATATTGTTTTTATACCCAGATGAGTCAGGGCCAGTTCTCGGAAAAGAACCTTCCCTTTCTCCCTCCATTTCCTACCTGGTCTCTGATGCTTAGGCCAAACAAACACTGTTTGACAGATATGTGCGGATGATATTAACAAAGTCCATAGTCGTAGGCCAAACGAACGCTGTTTGACAGATAAGTGCGAATGACATTAACAGGGTCCGTGAATGACGCATACTTTTTTGGGGGGCCAAAACGTGACTCAACTCGTAGCAGTTTTGTTTTGCATGTGTTGAGGTGACAACGATCTCACTTAGCTGCTGGCTTTTGAAGGAATTGGATGTCACCAAAACCAGTCTTAGCTGTTTTCTGTTAGAAGAAGCAGTTATCACCAAAACCAGACTTCGTTGTTTGATGCCAGAAGAATTAGATGCCACCAAAAACCAAAGGACCGACGAGAGAATCTAGAACAACATCCTCAACCCAAGTCGGCTACACTCCCGTGATTTTTCTGTGTGTTCTCTTCGCCATCAACACGAATTGGACATTGCCAGTCAAAAACTCATATTAGAACACTGACAATCCCATCCTTTACTTTCAGAGAAGTGTATGAATATCCTTTTGATCAAACTGTACCCCGGTAATAGTCAATCGACGTCGATTCCAACCTTATGTAAGTTTCTGCATGTTTTTCTATATCTTATAATCTGCTATCTCTATATTCAAATGTATTTCGCTGCATTAGTATCTGTTTAATTGGTAACTTATCTCCCCATCCCTTGTATTATTTAGTTTTCTTTTTCTTATTTTCACACTTTGTGCATTCTATAAATAAGATCTTTGTATTATATATTCTCGTGTCATCTTCTGTTGTTCTGTGTCTGCATATGGTTCATTTTCTCTCTGCATTTACTGACGTCTGGAATTGGAGAATTCCCCTCCCAACGTTCTTTTCTTTATTTTTATATTGAACCTTGGGATCTCTTACTTATTTTTTTTATTTTCTCATTGCGTCCCAGCTATCGTAGTCCCAACGAAACCCCAGGCGTAACAGTATGTACTTTCATGAAATTGAATGATTGCATCTGCAAGCAATTTTGAACTAGTAAAAATAAAAGAAAATAATTCATACAAAATTTAATGATGGTGTGACAATATTTTTCCTAATCAACTCAGAATAAATGAGCTTACATACGATTTTATTGAATCATGAGTCAGAATTATCAGATAAAAGTAAAATGTAGATTTAGATATAGTTAATGTCCAAAAGAAAACTTACTTGAAAGTTTATATTAAAATAATATTTGATTACTGCATGTGTATATCTTCATGTATTTATATGTATGTATGTATTATTGTATCACTGAAACCATCAAGTTTTAAAGGAACATATTCATGACTGATTTAAATGTAGGAGAATGTCAAATAAACCATAAGTCTATAAAACATTTGAGTTTATAGAAGAATTTGCTTATAAAATTGTTTGGAATTGCATATGTATAACATAAAGTCAGCAAGTTATAAGAGCTATAATTAGTCTAGACACATTGTGCATTAAAAATTATAAAAGTTAAAATTGTGGTTCTAGTTTTATTTCAAATTTAAATAAATTACAAAACAAAAACACATTTTCTAAAATTTTTCCTGTGTATTTTGAACATATAGTAGTTTTAACAAAACTACAAAAATTTTATCAAGCAAATGTTTTAAAACGTTTATTTGAAACTTTAGGTAAAATTTGTGGTAATATAGTTAAAAAAATATTTGGCTAGCTTCATATGCATATTATATAGGAATTGATGTGCAATAAAGTCAAATTGATCATCTACATTTGAATCTTACCTTAGATATATGACTATGAATTGAAAACTCTTCTTATGGGTTATTATTAAGGATGAGTTAGGGCTAGAAAAGCCTCATTCATTAATATAGTCATTAATAAAAGACTAACATTGCAAAAGCTTTTGTTGGGATCAGCAAAGCTACAAAATGATCCCCATCCACTCTTTTACCATTATTATAATCAAGAATAGTCTCCTTTCCTCTTACCTTTGATTTAGTATCAGTTTTGTGTTGTAATGAGTTTGCATCTTTTTTTCCTTTCTCTTCTTTCTTTTTTTTAGCTTCTTTGTCATCTTTTCCTTTCCCTTTAAAACTTATGGATTTCTCTTCTTCTTCCTCTTCTACAGGCAATCGACCAATCAACTAAAAGTAGTCACCGCACAAAATGAAACATTTTCTTAAAAAAAAATGCTGTTCTTATTATGAAAAATATTTCTAAATTTGAATTTGTGCTTTGTGTTTACATATCAGTTTTGTATTACTATTTTCTTTTAATCTATCCAATGTCAACACAAACCCTATTCCTTAAGCACTAAGAGTAGACAAAAAAATTTATAAGAAAGTAATGTAAAGTAATTAAAAGGTGAAAATAGAATAATTAAAAATAAGGTGAAAGTAATTAAAAAGTGAAAATAAAATAATTAAAAATACACTAAGTTTGTTTATTGCTCTTTCTCTTGAGGGGAGAATATAAAAATGTAGATTAAATAATTAATAAAAAAAATTGTAGATAAAAATAAATAAATATAACAGTTTACATTTGTTTATTACACTTGCTTTTAAGACAAGTGTTTAAAAATATTAAAACACAGCCAAATGGTTAATAAAAAATTAATAGATTTAATGTGAAACATTTTCAAATTTTCTAAAAATGACATGACTGTGGGGAATCGGTTGAATACTTGGCAGAGTTACAAAAACCCACCGAATGAGTAACCCTTGATTGGCATGTGCATTTGTATGGAGATCGCCAAAGCAGGTGAAGTGGCTTCTTCATGCTTTGACTCAGATGGATGAGCTAATGATTGACCAGCTGTTGGCTTGAGTGTGGGCAATGAAGGACAAGGTGATGGATGATAGTTTAGCAATTGCAGCAGTGCAAATGATACAGGATGGGACAAAGAAGCTTCCTACTGGGCATCCATGCAATACCATATTTCATTGCAATGGTGCTAATCATTTTGCAAAGGACTGTGTGGGACCACATGTCGAAATTCAGAAACCCTGAATACACTGCTACAGGTGTGACGAAATAGGCCATATCTCCTGAAATTGTCCAGGAAACAAGCCAGGAGAAGAGACTTCAGCATCAGTCTGCTTGCTGAACCCCTATCTGGATGAGGTGCTACCTGCAATTACTTTACACATCAAGGGTGCAGCTTTGGTGAATTGGATTACTTGTTAGCAGAACACTTTGTCACTCTTGAAAGACGAAGGAAGTGGATGTGCTCACTATTAGCTATGAGACCCTTAGGTGCTGTGGGGTCAAACTTGTTTAACTTGGTGTGAGTGATAGGCACCCTATTGATGTTGAGCTTCTGGTTGTAGACAGGAAGCTACTGAAGTATGACCCATTGCTTAGAGTTGACATCATCAAGAGGCTGGTTGGTGTGTGTGTGTGTGTAACCAGCAGTGGCACTGTGAGTTTTCCTCAACTTGACTGACCTTTGTGTGCAGCCATCACCATCAACGAGTCCAACTTTCATGCAGAATATGACCTGAATAGGAAGATCTAGGTTGTATCATGGAAGTGGTCTGGTGACCAAACACCACCCATGCTGAAGAACCAGATACCGGAGTATCCTACACTGAAGCAGCTCAGGGTGGAGTACACTCAGGAACTGCAAACCTGGATAGATAATGGTTAGCTATTTCCATACCCCAAAGAGGTGCTTGGACCCCACCAAGGGCCTAATCCCACTAATGACTGTACTGCAAGAAAACAAGCAGAAGGCCTATCCTGTTATGGATTATCAGGAACTCAATCAATATGTTAATGCATAGCTAATGCAGATGTTTGCACACAAAAATTGAGGGAGTCGTGACAAGAATGGTCAGACATTGCCATGCTGGATCTGTGCCAAGCCTGATTATGCAGTCAATCATCAACCCCATAGTTGCACAAGACAAGACCATCCAAGGGTCCATGTCCTTGTACATTGATGACATATTCATCAATGAGGGTGTGTGCCCTGTGGCCTGTGTAAGAACACACCTGGAAGTCATCCAGAGTGGCTAGCAAGAATCTGAAGCAGCTAAAGAATGGCACCCACATGCAGGGTCTGCATGTCTGGAAGGAGCAGAGTAAACTGCAATGGAGAGGTAAGAATGAGCTCCCACCAATGCTTAATGTCTTCAGACATTGAAGAATCTTTTCCTTGTATGGGAAATTAACTGGACATCTGCCAGTGTGTAGTTGGCTCTGCATCACAGCCACTTTCGTGAAATGATGAGCAAACTCTGTAATGTCTGGCTGGGATGATGCAACACAGGATCTCCTCTTGGTTTGAATGCTGATGAACATCATAGCTAGAATAGCATAGAAGGATCCAGTGCATAGAAATTGGTGTATGAATGGACACAAAGTGACCATATGGGTTGACGCAAGCTCCTTGACTATTGTTGTCATTGTTTGGTTGAGCATGCTGCACTCTGCACACAAAAACAAGCACATTAATTTGACAGAACTCAAAATGATGAGGCATCAACCTGGCATTGCAGTGGAAGGTAACTGTGATTTACCTGAAGACACACTCAGCATGCATACATCACATTCTGATATGCTGTCTAGAAAAACAAGTGTGTGCACAAAGGCGGCATCAGAAATGTTAAGACTTTGGCTTGGCACACTCAGCAAACAGGCTGCACAATTGATGTGGGGCTCGTCACTTCTCATATGAACCAAGCCAATCAACTCACTAGGGCACCTCAACAATGGCTAGATGCACTTTGAAAAGAAATGGAGCCAGTGTGTTCTGGATTTGTAGAACAGCAGGAATCCACTCATATACAAACCATCCATCAATGAAGTGGGCACTTCAGTATGAAGTGCTTGTTATATTTTGTAAAACAGGTCAGCCCTGAACACTCTAAAGCAGCAGTCCAGGTGGTGGTCAGAGACTGCGAGGTGTGCCAGTCCATAGACCCAGCACAAGTGCATTGGGAAGTTAGAAAGCTGGATGTGCATAACAATTGGAGCAGGGTGGGAATGGATATAACCCATTATGGAGGCTGGCATTATCTGACCCTGATAGACAGTGGCCTTTTCCATTTGGCAGCCGTTATTGTGCCAACACTTTGCTAGCATCATCCAGCAGTTGGAGTCTCTATTCTGTGATAGAAGGCCACCTGCTAAGCTACTCATCAACAATAGTGTGATGTTCTGTGGAGAGATGTTTGTAGAGGAGTGGGGCATCTGATTGAGATTCCAGTGTGCTTATGTGCCGTCAGGAAATGGTATCATAGAGATGCCATTGCACCATAAAGCGAATTGCCACTAGAACAAAATGTTCCATCAGGAAGGTGTTATATTGGTATGACACCAAAAGATGATGCAACAGTCATGACAGTACCAGCTAACTCTATATACAAGTATCAGATCTGCATAAAGTGTGTCGATGTTACACCACCACTTGAATAGATAGATCCTGGAATCTACAGAGTAGAAGATGTGGTCTGGATAAAGGCCCCACATGGTTGATGTACAACACAATTTAAAAAGGAAGAGTTATCGGCATCTATAGTCCACAATCAGTACTTGTCAATGGAATACCATGCCACATCAAAAATCTTTGTCCTCATCACAGATCTATTTCCTCAGAAGATGACAGTAATGATATTTCATCTGAGAGTAATTCAGTTATGCTGCTGCTTTTCAGAGCTTCATCTGCAGAACCAGAAGAAATAAAGTTGGAAGACAACGATGATGATGCCAAGAATGAGAGAGAACCTATGGATGCAAACAAAGAGACTGACAAACCCCATCCAACTTTCTGAAGAAGTATGTATCGAAGGAGACCACCATCTCCCTGCCTCTTATGAGTGCAAAAGGGGAAATGGCTTACCTCCTGGAACAAAACATGCTCATACATATCTCATGTGTGACATACGTAAGAAAACATGGCCAATCCAAAAGCTATAATTTAAGAACAACTTGATCTCAGAGTGCAGAGATTTTGCAAGATGTATTTGTGGCTTATGCAAATTTCTGAGCATCAACCACTCAATAAAATCAACATGAGTATCAGAAGGCCTGCAGACACTGACGAGTTGAGTGGACGTGCTTTGAGTTTCACAGTAGTTTCACCTATTGTGATCAAAAAGACAGAGTACCACTGGTACTCCAAACAGCTATACTGTTTTTTTTGTTTTTTTTTACTACAGTTGATATATCTGATAAAAATATATATATTAAATTATTCTATTTGTACTCAAATTGTAATTTTGTCTTTTTGTGCACACTGTTTCTAAGAAAAAAATTAACTTGAATAAGCAGAGATTTTGATCTTTAATATTTATGCAGTGTTGGGAGGATATTGGTTTTATTAAAATAATTAACAAAAAATCAAATCATTAAATGTTTTTTTCTAATTTGACTTCCCATGAAATACTATCAATTTTGGATTTGTAACCAGCATAAAATTATTAAGAAATTAAATAATAAACAATACTCTAATTAACTTATAAATTTCAAAATGAGCAATAAATTTTAAAATAAACTATAAGGAAAAATAATTTTTTAAAAGCTTATTTCTTAGAACTTACCTTACACTCAATAATTTTAAACTCCAGATCTTGATAAAGATAATCTCTCAGTGGTAGAAGGTTATGGCATGTAATGACTTTGTTCCAATTAAAGTCTATCTGATTTTCTGCCCAGGGAAGATCTTGACTCTGTAGAAAAGTTGTTGGTGGTGGATGTTCATTTGTGTATGGCAGGAAGGATCTATTGTGATTGTTTTGGCTTGCAGCTGCAAGTAAAACATACAATAATTGCTCTTAAATTCAGCTTAATTCTTTTAAAGATGTCTTACTTCATGTGGATGGGATTTTTCCCACAATTTTTTCATTCATGTTGCTTTCTGTTCACATATAAAAGGAAAATATTTGTGCATATATGTAAAAATGTAAATTTCTTACTTATTTGAGGCTAAAATTCCAATGTTTTCTTCCACAACGGAGTCTTAGAAAAAGTTAAGTCACACTACCTTGATATAATGTCATAATTGTTACAGCACAATTTTATCAGTTATCACATTTGCAAATTTAGGAAAATTGACCAAATGATTATAGTTTTAAGACTATATATCTTGTTTTACCCCATAAAATGGTTGCAGTTTTAAAATTAAAATATGTTTATATAATAAATTTGGATTGTCTCTTACAGTTTTTTGAACCAGTCATCACAGTATTTGGAAGAGAACCAGGTAACTGCTTGTCCACACTTGTATCTACTTGTTTCCCTGGTTCCATTTGTAGATTATTAACTGATTGAATCTGGATAGGAAAGTAAAATAATTTTATTTAATAAATATTCCTGATGTACTTCTGAATTAATATAAAGAAAAAAAAACTATGCTGGTTATTTTGTTATGCTGTTAACTTAGTTATCTCCTTTTTCTTTTAAAATTTGATTTCTTTTCCTGCAATCTTGTTTTCAGCAATTGAAATTTCTGTTTTGTGTTTGTTGTAGAGTAGTTTTCACAGTGGAGGCTTGTATTTCAATAAGTCGTCCTAAATTAGGTTCAACGTACAAAACGTTAGGAACTTGGAAATAAGAGTTAATGACGCAGCAATCTAGTTGTGATGGTTGGTACTTCAATGACTGATATCGACTGACTCGCTCAACACCACTCAGACCAACTGTCGATCACTACTACTACTTATTATGTGTGGGAGAGTCTATTAATAATAGAATAGGTACGTCAGGTATAACAGTGTTAAAGTTAAAAAAAATTGCTATTAAACATGAAATTGCTAATTTATTAAAACAAAATAAAAAATTATCCAAAATTGTCTTTTTATAAATGTATTTATTTCATTTTAGCAGCAAGTTACAAGTACCTTTTTTATAGAATTCTTCATAATAGGAAAGAAATCAGATAAATATTGTAGAGTGAAATATAATTTCCATCCACAACTGATTTCTCTTTTGTAAAATCATTTTTTCATCTTTATCATGATAAAGATGAAAAAATGATTTTTATTCACCAAAATAATTGAAGTTAATTGAGTTTTTGGTGCATTACACGTCATTAATTATTTGGCCACTTAAAAAGAATCCAATTTTGTTTGGCAAAACAAATTCACAATAAATTTAAAAGCGCAATTTCAACTATACTTAAGTTTTTCATTTTTATCCATCAGTTATTATACATTGAAATCTTTTGTGAATTCTTCGGTGGGTTTAGGATCATTTCCCACAATTGCTTTCAATTTTTTTCTCTGTTTACTTTTGATGACATTTCTTTCTTTACAATTTGAAACACCAAATAATCTCTACATATCTGCTATACACAGAAAGACAAACAACATTGTTTATTATTACAATTTATATTAATTACTGTTTGATACTGAATTTTATAGTTTTTGGTTATTTGGAAGCCATCCACCATGCAGAATGTTATGGTATTTTAAAGTATTTAAGATTAGCCAAGAAAACTGAAGTACTCAAAGCCAAAATGGTTCCCTTACCATGCATAGTGACATAAATCATCTAATCTTTCTGTGTTTTCCATTCTCTCAGATAATACAAAAAATCTGAATCAAGATGTTGGTATTATTGCTCTCTAAAAATTATAGCAAATAGCTAATACAAGATGATAAACAACTGAAGTGGTTTGGGTATCTAGTGAGGAGATATCTATTAAAAATTCTATTTAAAAATGTTTTCAACAATGTAGAATGAAAGCAAATACCCAACAGGATTGAATTTAAATAAAATTAATTCCATAACATAAAAATAAGTTTAACTGTGGAAAAGGTATACCTTCTATTCCAATGCCTACATTTTTAAACAAAGTCCTTGCTGAGAAAAAGTATTGCTTTTTTAGGGTTTGTGACCCTGTGAAAAGGTGAAGAAGAGGATAATGGGGTTTAATAATATCATTGGGTACACCAGATAATGGATGCGCTATAAAAGAAAGGAATATTCTTCCAGTTTATATTCCCCCATTATAGGTATTATTATATCCATGATATAACAAATACCTTATTTCATGAACGGAATAGCTGAAAGAAAAGGAAGGACAAACTTAATTTGTTTTCAGAGAGAGTTTTATGCTGCTACGTCATACACAAAATTATATATACATTTCCCATATTGTATTCATTTCTATGCTTGGCCAACTTACAAGCTTTTTGTAGCCTAGCTCTGATTTCTTAAATTTTCATATTTTCCAGTGATATTCTCTTTTCTCTCCATATGTGGTCAGCCATACCTGATTTTCCAAATTCCCCTCATGTTACAGCCTTATGGTGTTCCTGCAATCTTAAATAGATACCAAGTTTCTCTTTTATATTTCTTGCCACAGCTGCACAGGATGACATACACACAGTCCTTAATCATGTTCTCCTCAATATGGAGTCTCACTTGGAAGAGATGTCTGCATAGCATTAAATCACTCCTGAAGATTGTACTGATGTCATAAGGAGAACAGATCTTTTGTATCTGATTATTTAGTACCTTAAGTAAAGATAATGGATAATTTTTATATTAACTTTATCATTTTATTCCACTATGTTCTACTATCTTTTAAACAACTTCATAGTTTAATTCACACAGAATCAATGGTAGAAGTTAAACTGTATCAATTTTTAAAGCAATGTTTTTGCAATGTGCAAGAGTTTGAAACTCTTAATAAAGAAAATAATTAATTTTATAAACATTGAAAGACAAAAATAATTATTGGTTCTTACCATTTGATCAACAGATGGTGTGTTTGATTGTTTGGAATCATTTGCTTCTTCATGAATAAAAAGAAGTTGAATAAAATAGGATTTTTGGATGATGTTGACATCAGTCTGTAACTTTGAAGAGAACAAAAACAAAAATAATTTTTTAGTTTTCTTTTTTATTCAATTGTTTAGTACTATTATCAATTAAAAATATGATATATCAAGACAAATATTTTTTCAAACCTATTCTGTAGATATAAACAGTGTTGATAAAACAGCAGATTGATGTTTGCAAAAGTTTCCAAACTACCAAGGTTTGACTACTGAATTGACCAAACTTTTGTAAAAAAAAAAAGACAAAACAAAAAAACATGTTACTAGAAACACAAATGCATCAGGTTAGCCTTAAGGCTCCCCAATTTACGGAAATTAGCATAGCAGGATGGTTTACTATCAAAGAAGTGCAATTCCACCTCAAGAAGGTTACAGCTGAGGATACAAAATTTTATACAATCATAAGTGCCGTACCACCTGATGTAGTTATGAATTTCTCTGCATCTATCTTGCAATCAAAAGATTATGAGCAGTTAAAGCAGTCAGCTAATGAAAGGACTAAATTGGAGTTTTTAGATTAGCTGATGAAAAACACAATGATAATTGTTGTCCGTCAATTTATCGCCAGAACATGCTGGCTGTAGCTATGCTTATAGGTTTTAATGAAGAAATTGTTAGGAACAAGTTTATTCAGGCTGTGTCTCAATAATTAACAGGAGTTATATCTGCTCAGACAGAAATGCCTTTAGTAGAATTAGGGAAATTATCCAATGAGTTGATGCCTTTGGTAGTTAATAATGCATCTGCATTAGAACTGTCAAGTAAAGAGTAAAGATAGAAATGCACAAATTGTTTGCATTGTTTTTCATCTTTAAGACTTGTTTTTTTCTGCATGTTGCCATATATAAATGAGGTGAAATGATCAATATTTCTTATGAAAAAATGAAAGAGATTTACATTTTAAATGACATATTAGTCTCATTTATTTCCACAGTCTTTTCTCTTGTAAAATTCTTTCCTCTAGTTTATATAAATTTTATGACAAAAGGACAGTTTTTTTCCCATGACACTACTTTAATTTTAATTACCTTCACTCCTCAGCAATGTTTGGTTTAAAAACAGATGCTTAGAATTGTAATAAAACCAAAATATATCAAAGTGAATTTACACATTTTTTTGTTCTTGAGAATTAATAACAAAAATAATAAAGATTAGTTATTTATTAGATTGTTTATTGGAAAAACATCAAACATTTATTGAAGACATCAGATAATTGCCAATCGATTTGAACTTTATAAAATGGTAAATAAAAAACTTTCCTTATTGTTGGTTCACATATTTTAATAATTGAGTAAATGTTTATAAATTTATGAATAAAAATTTTTCATTTTTATTTCTTTATTAATTGGTAAATGATAAATATTGCATTGCATTTTTTTATTGTATTAGTTTTTAGATATAAAATTATTCTAATAAATAAATAGTTTAATATTTTTTTGCAAATTCTCAAGAACAAAAAAAATGTATAAATTCACTTTCATCATATGTCTAGGTTTCAAAAAGGGTAAAGAAAGGCTTTATATTTTGTCAAAATGTTATATTTTACTTTGACAATATGATTGATGGAGCAGGGGGGGCAATATAGCCAAGAAAGACTGGAAGTTAATGAATTATAGGTTACCTGCTGTTCCTGAGGATCAAGAAGACCCTTTACATTTGGAATGGATACTTTAATGAATGCTACATTCTGGATGCAATCTACAACAAAAAACAAAGTAAAAAAGTGATACAAAAAAATGGATGGCAAATCAGATCAGAAAATTTGTTTTGGGAATTGTCTCTGCAAAGAAATAAAGAATTACATGATCTTTGTACAGAGAAGAAAATAAGTCAGTTACAAGTATTCTTATTATATGCTTTATGTTCAAACTAGGAAACTCATCTCTGTTTTTATACTTTCAACATTTCTGCCATTGCACTCTTCTTCAGATATCTTTCATAACCTTCTCAGAACCTTCTATTCAATCCACAGAAGTAAACGGCAGACACTGGAGGAAGGCCTGAGGGAACAACAGACAAAATAATGTGAGTATAACAATCAAGATGAATATCCTCCTCTGAATATAAAGGCATATAAAATTTCTCATTTCAAAAATTCCAACAGAAATTATCAAATCAATATGGACCTGACATGATATGTTGAGTTTTTTCCACTTGAAAAAATGTGGTGATAATTCCCATGCTGTAAGGTTGTTTCATATTCCTTCATTTGTTGGCACATGTTTAAAATTAGAACAGTTTTGTTCAAAAGATAAAGTTTGTATATATATTTTATTTTTAAGTTTTCTTTCTTCATTCTTAATGAAAGACAACTTTTTTCATACTTTTATTAATATTTAGAAATATAATAAAGTCATATCAAACAGAAAAGTATGATAGATTAACACTTTGAAATGCATTACTGGGTATGTCTAGTTATTAAATATTTTAGTGAAATGTATGTACGACATTGAGATTTTAATGAATATGGTACAACTTCTGAAAGAAAATTTACATATGGATGTTTGTACTATGGGGTTGTATTATACTAAAGGATGTAATTTATTCCATTTTTAGCTTCAGAAACACTGGGTCATATTATACTCAAGTTATATTATACACAAGAAAATACAGTATCTATGCCAGTATTCACATATTGTACTCAAATTGGTATTACTCTTCAGTATTTTGTAATTTTATTTTTTCATCAGTGTTTGCATATATAAGTTGATGCTGTGGTCAACAAGTGGCAATTTAGTGTTGACCAATGTCCACTTTTCTATTTACACATGCTCTATCTGTGATATTGAGCATTTTACCCAGAAACATAGCATAACTTAAAACACACAAACACACACACACATATATATATATATATATATATATATAATAAAATGTGTGTATGTGTAGAGAGAGAGAGAGAGAGGATAAATCCCAGAAACTAAACAGTAAAAGAGTGTGGAAATGTCAGAGTGAATCTAAAGATATTTCACCTGTGTGAAGATGCAAAGATTTGTAGTTGATTATTTCATCAGCTGTGATGGTAAAGTCATCTAGAATGTTGAGCATTGGCAGGCAGTCAATTAGGAACCCACGGTAACCAGGTGTAAGCTGCACAAAGAAAACTGCTCAAGATTTTAAATAATCAGAGAAAAATGGTTTATTCTAAACTGATTACTGACAACATACAATACAGACACACAAAGCTGAATTAGATCAATTGGTAATTTTGAGTGATAGGAATTGTAAGGTGGTACAGACAGGCAAAACTTAGCATGGATTTCAATCATTTGTGTTTTTAAAAAAAGCAAAATTTATGCATAATTTCTGAAATGTGGGACAATTGATAACTTTATTACAAAATATATTTCCACTTTTCTTGAAAAGTTCAGTTCTTGGTAATTTCATTTTTTTTCATATTGTTGACATTTTTGTCTTTTATTTCAATTAAGCAGTTGACAAAAACCCATCTTTCTTCCTTGAAATTTCAGTTTATTTAACAATTTTCTCTCAAGACCTCTTTCTAACAGGATTTTCTGTTGATGGTATTAGTTGTCTTTTTATCTCATGCAACTCCTCTACCCCAATATGAGATCAGAACTATTTCTCCTTTTGTTATGAAAAAAATCCTCACTTTTCTGTTGTGTCTACATCCCCAGGATAATATGAGTAGCCAAATTTATCCCTTTTCACCATATATATATATATATATATATATATATATAAAATATTGTATATCTAGCTTAAAAGTCACCCTATCAGCCAGCATTTAAGCTAGCTCCTGCAGATAGCTCTTGATTGATCCTGAATGCAAAAGGCAACAATAAACTACAGAAGAACTCAAAATTGTTCACTGCGTTTAAGTATTGCATTAATATTTAAGCTTACCTTTTAAAAAGTTTAATGATAATTCTTCTGCTACTACTTAATTTAAATACAATTTGATGTACATAGGTCCTTATTTTTCTTACAATTATTTTTATTTCATGGGTGACTTTCACTTTTTTAACTTACTCATAGAGTTAACCTGATTCCAAAATGGTATGGCTTCTAGGAGTAAATTTGAAAACATGGACAATTTTATTTTGAAACACTGTAATTTGAGAACAGTAATTTTTTTCACTTGAAATAGGCTATTGAAAGTTAGAGAGTTGTGTCCCTTTAAGTTGAAAAAGTGTGATTCACATTTATTATATAGATGTATATAAAAATTCAATAATCATTTTTTCTTTCTCTAATATCCGTTATCAAATTTATTTCTTCATATATATTAAAAAAAAAGAAAAAAAAAAAAAAAGAAAATGTGACATTGTCACCAAGTACATTTATACTCTCCTGTCAGGTGGTTGATAAAGAATACATGGTAGTGGGGACATTGGGTTTTCTTCCCTTTATTGTAGAGGAACAAGAACATACCCTGCTAACCTTGAAATTGATTGCCTCTTTACAATTAGTGGGTAGGTGAATTTCCATACTGCTACTGAAAAATTATATAAGAGGTGAGGAACAAATTTATTAAACTTATTAAAATTTGAGGATTGATCACAAAAATAGTTTTCTGTGAGCTGCATGCATTCATAGGCTGTCTTTGGCTTAAAGTGACAATTTTTTTAGTAAATTTTTCTTAAATCTTCAGAGTTTATTTTGATTACTAATGAACTAATTCTATAGAATTCAATCAATATTTACTTGATAGATCTGAATATGAGTATGTGTGTGTGTGTGTGTATATAGAATTAATAGTAATGCTAACAGTTCAGCTAGAAGTAGAAACAAATCTTGACACTTTTTACCAGTCATAAGATTCTCTCTCTTCTACCAAGTTTTCAAACTGACACACTCATACACCAACTTTCATAATATATTGTAGATTAAGGAATGAAAAGTTTTATATGACACTTTGTATATGTATGTCTGTAGATATTACCAATTTAAAGAACTGTCTAATGCCTAAAATGTGGAATAAATAAACTGATAATACTGAGTTTAAGTTGTCCCCTATTTATGAAAAGTATAAATTAGAAATTCCTTGTGCCTTGTCTCACTGTCAATTATCTTGACATACACTAACTTAAAATAAAATTGTAACACCCTGAAGAACAATGTCAATTTTTACCTGAGTACAGTATGTGCATGCTAACTCGGTAAGTAGATATTCTGATAAAATTTCTTTGTCTATTTTGTGACATAGTAATGCTCATACGAGTACACCACATATGTCTGAGCTTTAGATAGAGATGCATATTGTAATGTTTTAGCACGAAATGCCCAATGCAAACAGGTGTCATTCCATGGTGAAGCACACAAGGTCCATTTGTACAGTTACAGCTATTTTTGAGAGGTCAGATTGTAGGCCTTTGATAAGCTGGATGGATATTTTGGAAAATGTTGCATATGTTGGATGTTATATGGTGCTTCAGTGTTAGCAATGGTTGTCAAATGACCACGTATAGATAACTTACAAATCTTTTTTGTCTTTTCTGTTTATAGAGGGATGATGAACAGAACTAACTATATAAAAACATTATTCAACATATTCTACTATTAATCCTGCAACAAGAAGGTAATATAGTGTTCCAGAAGGATATATTTCATCCACATAATGCATGTGTTACTCAATGTGCTCTGTAAAATTTTCAATAACTTCCCTGACTGGTACAGTTGCCAGACCTGTCCCCCAACTCACTAATGAGAAACATGACTAATATATTCTCTTGTGTTTGTGTGTGTTCATTACAAAGTGTGTGTTTCTCTATTAGTATCTACCTTTTCCAGTCTATTCATATCTTGTTTTACAGCCAAACATATGTTCATATGTTAATATGCATGTACAATAGTGTTCAATATTAATGTATGAAAGTTTAAAAATAAAACATTTCTATTTCTGCAGATAGTACAAATTGTAGTTAATATTTTTTTTAATTATTCTTAGTAAATTTGCATAAAATTAGAACCAAGGATAAAAAAGTTATAGAACAAAAATTGTTTATTACAAAAAAGTGTAATGTTAAAAATTAGATAACAAATATTTGTCATTTATATTTATGGGTGATTTCTAAAACAAGCAAAAACAAACAAAGGTAATAGTTCCCAGAAATATAAGCAATATTGCAAGGTAAAGAAATATTTTATATTAATCTGCAGCATTATTTCCCAAGTTATCATAATAGCAACTGCAAAATTGATTAAGCTCTTAGCTGTTGGGGTGTCACAGTAAAAACTCAAGGAAAAAGGAATAGGAGATGAAATTTTTGTTGATGCATATGTTAGCAACTTGTCTGTGTGAACTGCTTGTCCAATGGTGAGAATGTCACGTGTTTGTGTGTGTAGAGTAGAAAAGTGGAGTTGATTCTCATAAGTTTAGAATGAATGAATAATAATTATATTTTGTTATATTTATTTTGACACTATAATTAATTTTATTTATTTTTTATTGGACCCAACACTTTATTAGATATCTGATAAGGTCACTTTTATTATGAAGTAATGTAAAACAATACAAAAATTAACAGAAATAAATTTATTTAAAGGAAATGATTTAGTACTTTATTTTAACATCCATGCCAAACTTAAAATGCTTTTTTCAATTTTTGGTGGATTTTTTATCAACTAATACCTGGAAAAAACACATAGCTTCTTTAATGCTCAAAGAAACAAAGAACATTCTAGGACAAATAAACAGAATGAAGAGTTCAAATATAGAACTGATTCAATTTATTGAGTTGAAAATGAGGAAAAAAGGAATTATTAAAAAAATAAACAAAAGTAGTTTAAAATAAGAAGGCATAAACTTTATGAAAAAGTGATGGAAAGGATAAAATGAAGTATACAGAGATTTTAAAAATAATTTGGAGTAAACAAAATAGCTACAAAAAGAACATAAAAGAAAATTAGTTAGTAAAGAAAGTAATATAATTAGAAAGCAGAAAAATATAAAAATATGCCTTAAAAACAAAAACAAACAAAATGAAGAATATTGAAGAAATAGAAAGGTGCAAATGAACAAAAAATTAAAAAGAAAAAGTGAATGACAAAAATGAAAAGAAAGAATAATATATGGGAGGTTACAAAGAAGAAAAGTCAAGATTAAAGAAGCAATAGTATGAAAGTAAAGAGAAAATTTAAGAAAAATAACAAAGAAAGAATAAAAAAGAAGTGAAGATAAAATTTTAAAATGAAGAGGTGAAAAAATGAAAATAAAGAAAATAGAATAAATTGCTGGAAAAGGAAAATATGATTAAAAATAAGTTAAAAGGAGGAAAAAAGAAAAAGGAAAGAATGGGAAGAAAAGGTAAAAGAAAAAAAAAGAATAATAAAAAGGAAAAATTAAAAACTCAAGTAAATTAAACAAATCTAAGAAAATATAAAATAAATAATAGTTCTAACATTTATCTTCTACATATATCTCTCTCTCAAGTAATTCCAAGGATTATTATTACTATTGACTAAAAGAATATGAAATTTTACCGATAATGGATTTCCAACTAAAACAAGACTTTGCAATTTGGGTAAAGACTTCAGAGTCTGTCCAACATCTTTCACATCACACAGGTTATTGTGGAAAAGATCCAAACAAAGTAATTGGGGCCTGTCAGAGAAATGGAACAAGTAGAAAGAAATATTCAAACAATACCCAAATCCCTTATACTAAAAGATATATAAAATCAAAGTGAATTTATACATTGTAATAAGGAAAAACAAGTTAAAACAGTTTTCACCATTAATGTTAAAGAAATGATTTTATTTTGTCTTATTGTTGTTCTTTTTTTATTAAAGTAATATGATGTAGGAATAAAGAAAGACATTAATTAAAGATTCCTTGTACATCTTCTATGGTGTTTACCTCATTAACCTATGTACACTGCACCAAATAGTAAAACCTTTCATATGCAAGTCAATATTTTCATAATAAAATTTGTATTAATCAACTGATGCTGGTAAAATGGTCAAAATATATCATGTGAGTTTCAGCTCATAATATCTATTTGTATTAAAAATATTTATAACTTGTTTTAGAGGGTCAAGTTTTATCATGCTACATAAATTTCCATTTATAAATATATCTAAAAGATCTAGGCAATAGAAACCTATATTTGATTGACACCATATCCTATATTCCTAAATAAATTATAATCCTTTTATTTTACAAGTTAATATAGACTGTTTGAGATTCTATAACCTTTATTCATTTGATTTGTTATCTGTTTGGACTTTAGAAAATACTTGTAGCAGTTTTTATTGCTTCCTAGAGATTTTTTCTTCAATATTGTTTTCCATTGTCATATACATTTCTTTTAATGATGGACCATAAGTTTTCTGTTTGATAGGCTGGAAACAGTTCCATTAATTTAGGGTCTTTGAAACAGTGGGCAAGTCAACTTTGCAAAATGTGAAGGAACAATATCTTTCTCTTTAGGTTCTTTAGTTTATGACTTGTATCACTCAGCAAAAATGTTTTGTCTAAGAACTTTTATAAGAATTATCTGCATTTATTAATATCATCATCAACTTAGAAAGAACCTATAATTATTTTTTTAACAATCCCAACTCAAAACATGACTCCCATTGTTGTCTTCTAAATTATATTGGTTGAAGGAACTGTTGTAGTGTAAACCATGACCTCCCCTAGATTAGTTGTACTTTGGCACTTTACTGTATCCTATAGACACAAAGTTACCTCCTTTACCTGTTAAGAAACACCCATATTCATCTGAATGTAACATATGTATTTGTTTGCTATTAAAACTTATACAAATGGTTATTAAGTCTTGTTATCTCTTCCTACTACATCATCTTACAACTCTAGTCCAGCCATCAGCTCCATCCAATGTACAATTATCATTAAACATTCATATCGATAAATCAGTTTTCATGGATTTCTTTATTCAAGTTTCACAATTCTGGGATGTTTATTTAAATGGTGGTAGTTTGGTTGCTTTCATATATTTAGCCAATATTCTTAATGTTCAGTAGTTTTTAAGGGTTATTTTTATCAAACCTGTTTTTGGCTCTTAAGGATTTTTTTTAAAAGACCCCAAATATGTTTTGTAAGATTCCAGATGATTCTTAATGAGCTTGTTGAAATATTCCAATCTGATATTTAAACATCACTAGTGTCCTTTTTTAAGTTGTAACCATCTTCCTTGGATATACAATGATCTGTGTGGCATTCTGTACTCGGTACAGTTTTAATGTAATGTAATGGTCTGGTGTATGATGACATTGTTTTGATTAGGGGCACATGTTAGTTTTTGTTAGCATAAACTATTGGTCATATTCTGCTCAAAACTCATGAAAAGAGCATTCACTATAATTTCCTTTGCTCTCTGAGGGCACCTTACAAAGCAAAATTTATCCACTGATTACCAAGGATGACAATTTTATTAGTTGTTTTGACATTTAATAGAAGTTTGTATAGCAACTTTCCTATCTTTTCTGGTCTATAGAGAGTTGGGATACCCACATACAAGAGCATGGCATGGTGTGAAATGGAAAGACATACAGAAATGATACTATCCATGGTCTGTTGGTATATTGATGGTATTTGTAACAATGTAAACTCTAACCATGATGCCTATGCATCAGCTTTTGGTTTGCATGAATAGTGGAGAATGTAAAATGCTCTTTGCTCTTTCAATTTACCTTTATCTGGAAAATTGATCTCATTGATATTGATAACTAGCTTCACAAGCTCATGTGCAACTGTTGCTGTAGTTTCAAAAACCACAGTCACACTATCTGCCGTCTCCATCATGGTTCTGATAATCCAGCATGCAAGTTGGATACTTTTGCAATCTTTAAATGAAGATGGACATCCTGATTTCTTTTGTTCATCAGATGCCCAATAGCTGCAAGAGGCCAGCTGGGATGTGAAGAGACACATTTTTTTTTTACCTTTTGCCATGTAATTCAAGGAATGTCTGATAATTTAGCAGCCTAAATCCACCTGCATGTAAGTAATGTAAAATTATACATAAAAAAATAACAGAATCATTTAAAAAGTTGACTATATCAGTTGTTAATATTAATTAATTGATCTCAAAATAAAAAAAATATCTATACTGATAAATATGTATTATAACTTCAATATAAAATTTACAAAATATTAAATTGTTTTAAAATCTGTTAGAAGCCCTTACTCAATTTATATATATATATTATTATACATACATATATACATACATATCCCTACATGTAAATCTGTGTGTGCATGCATGTCTGTTAACTTGGCGCTTTTCTTTATTCTAATATCTTAGCCATAAAATCTCTAAAGTGAAACTAACCAATGTTGTGCTGTAAGATGTTTTGAAATACTGTCGACTCTATTGTAGCTCAGTCCAAGATGAACAAGTGGGGGTGGTTTTGCACACAGTGGTGCCAGGTCAGTAATGTTATTGCCACTAAGTTCCAATGTCTGTAAAAATATAAGAAATTAAAACAAACTTTTAAAATTATAATTTATAGAACTGTAATGACAATATCATCTCTATAAACACTTTCATTGTAGGTTTGTTGCGGACCCGGTAGGGTGTAGTGCTGGATTATACTGAGTGGCCTTGTGCCAGACACCACACTAAGCTACCGAGCCTACAAGCAAAGTAAAAATGCGTGAATGAACAACGAAGAAATGTGAAAAAATCCACACGTGCATAATTAAAATATATTAACAAGATAGCCTCCTCGGAATGACTGAAAAAGACTGGGTTTCAACAAGAGTAATTTTTATTGAATGCAGGAAAAACAAGTAATTTGTCCCGTGGTAGGGACCAATGAAATAGTTCCGCCCAAAATAAAAAACAAGATGGCTAAAAAGCGGGAAAAGGTTCTTGAAGAAAAAGGTTCCAGTAAGTCAATGTACATGGTAATATTCATACAAGGAAAAATACTCACTGCGAGTTTAGGTAATGTGAGTGAATGTTATGTACGTATTTTTTTTTTTTTTTTTTTTACTGGTTCAAAACAGATTTCTGACGAGACCCAAAGTGGACGACGGATTGTTTTGTATGTTCTGCATCGTCTCGGAGTAGGACTTTGAATGACGAGTCTCAAAGGAACGAAGAATTAATTATTTGGTATTGCATCGTCTCGGAAAAGGGGTCTTGAATGACCAGCCAAAAGGAACGAAGAATTAATTATTTGGTATTGCATCGTAAGATATCCTTCGTCAGTCGAACTGAAATATTGACGTGGATAAAAATGAGTCTGCTCAGCTCAGAGTCTGGAACACAACTGACTTTTTTGAAACAACAGTTTGTCGTTGACGTCACAAATTTTTCGCGGCAAGATTTCAAAAATCTAATTTGCATAAACAGTAGTAGCAAGACGCTTGGTTGGTGACCAAAGCAATTACTACTGTATTAGACCGAACGAGGGAGAAAGGGGTGTCAAACGCGCGCGCGCGCACACACACGAGTGTCGGAGAAAGGGAGGCAACTCGCGCGCGCGTAAAATGTCGTAGATGGAATAATACATTATTCCACAGGTTTTCTATAATAGTATGTTAGGCATTTACCAGATTCAGCCAAAACACATCAAGCTCCTGTATTTTATTTCTTTGAATATTTTTAATGCCATCATGTATCATGGTTTCATGATTGGAGGATTGCAGTTTTTTTTGCACTTATATGTTGATGCATTTGTTGCTTAAGATAAAGTTGCCTACTCTATTTGTTATGAGTGAAAAATATTCACCTTCAATATGCCTCATTTATAAATATTACTTACTCTTTTTGATGTATATGAAATCCTCTCAAAATATAGTATTAGTTCTACATACTTGAAATTGCAAAAACCTGGCTCTCAATTTCAGTCAAGAAGGATATTAATACACAACCAAGGGATTCAAATTCAACTTGCATTGGCAGTACTAACATTTTGCTTGATGAAAATAGTCACCTACAGAGTGCTAAAGTAAAAAAGCAGGAGAGAATTGTTTCTTTTTTTTTTTTTGCAATTTTTCTCTTTTGAAATGTAGAATATTCATTTTTCTTGACAATATTCTAATTTTGGGTTTTTTGTAATAGTTTCCACAACTGTTTTTTTTAAAAAGCTTTCATTTGAAGATTTATTCCTGATCCAAGCTTTCTTTTTAGCAGTGGTACCAGGAAACATGTACACATGCACACACACACACACATATATATATACATACACAGGAAAAAGCAGCAACATCTATGTATATAATGTACCTGGTAAAGATAAATTTCACATCAACATTTTGGTTAAATATTATGTAACATATGGCTGAATTGGATTTCGAAAAAAAAACATTTCTTTCTCAATATTCTTTTCATCTTTAGTATATTTCTTTTTTCTCTTCTACTGTTTTTGGTAACTTCCCATGCAATAATAAATACAGAAAGTCCTCTTTGGAGGAACATAGACTTTCTGTGAAAATTTGGGCACTTGCAGTCAAAAGTTTGCTTACATAAGACAAAGTACTCAGTCATTAAAGTTACATTTCTTATTTTGTTTTGGCTCCAATTATCAGTACTTTATGAAATGGGAAATGATTTTATAGCTGCTCTTTCTGCTTTATTCAAGCAAAATTAATCTTGGTCAGAGGATCACATTGAAGTATGAAACTGACAATGAAATGCAGGTACTTATCTTTATATCCATGCTGTCTGTATCTCTGATATTAATCACTCTCTCCTTTAATATAGTAAATTTTAAACAATATATGTATATTTAAGTGATTAATGGATTCTAATAATATTTCTTATTGCCATAAATGTTATTTTAGTGGGTACATGTGTTTGAGCAAATGTCTATTTATTTACAAACAGTGAAATTAACAGCTACTGGCCTATATCACCAGATATTAAAGAAAATGTACCTCTTTTCAGAAACCAAACTTACATTCACCTTGTTAAACAAGTGAGTCTTATCTTTAGACTATGGAGATCCTTATAACAAAGCAAGGTTCAATTAACCTTTTTAGAACATGTACATCTATTGCTGGAACTTTTCAGTATCTATATCTGTTAATTTGCATTTTCCTATCTGAAATATAAACTAAATTAAACAATTAAAATAAAAACTCTATTAATTGCTTATATTACTTTGTTTATATTTGAGATAAGAAAATATAAGTTACCATATATCTTACTTATTATAAAATGCAGATTGTGTGTGTGTATGTGTGGGTGTGTGTCCGTACGTTTATATATTAGATTGGATTTCCTACATTTTTCAACCGATTTCAACAAAACTTCACAGGACTAAGTAAAATTACCTTGTGATGGTTCTGACAGCGCCAAAAATTGGAAAAACAATTGTTTTTACACGAAATCAATTTGAAAACATGATAAAACACGATTCTGTCGCCAGAATAAGGGGGGACAACTCATATCAAGTTATGCTTATTATAAAACCCAGGTTGTTTGTGTGTATGTGTGTTCGTTTATATATGGGATCGGATTTCCTACATTTTTCAACCAATTTCAACAAAACTTCAATTTTTTGGGGGGCAGGTAGTGTTTCTTATTGTCTTGCACACTTTTTTCTTTATTTTTATATTCAGAATGCTTTAAAAATTCCATTTACAAGACAATTGTTTATAATAAAATTCTATTCAATCGATAGACTCCTAACGATTGAAAACAATGTTTTTGTTTGAGTTTGGGTTTGACCAATTCGTAAAAAAACAAAAAAACAAAACAAAACAAAAAAAAACTAATTAAGACATGCGTGTCCATCAACCTTAAACAATAATCTTTGTCAATTTTATTTTTCAGTCTTTATGATGGTCTATACTTGATCTATCTCTTACTGTTACATCCCCAGGCAACGCCGGGCTCTACTGCTAGTATATATATATATATATATATATATATATATATATATATATATGCATTAATGTGGATAAATCAAATAACCAGATATTAGCAAACATATATATGTGCGTTATCATGCATACACAGGTAAGCGAATAAATATTTACTCAATTTGATATAAGGTGTAAACAAAACAATGCTCAATGTGGTTAAACAGAGCTAAGAAGTATATATTAATAAATATACATATACCTATATTTGAAGTGCAACTTAAAGTTCTGTTGTTCTACCAACTCATCAGGCATGAATTATTACTTTTGATTTAAAAAAAAATACTGGGTCTTATGGGAGGAACGCTAAATTAAATGCAGATTCAAAGCTTAAGTTTAATATAAACTTGATATAATATTGGGGTATAAATACAGAATGTAGAGTGTAAAAAAGAAAAATGGCAAGCTTAAAGTTTAAAAGAGAAACACTGGATAACTTGTTAGGTAATAATAGACAATAAAATAGTTAAAGGGGGGTAATCAATATGTAACCTAGAATATGGGAATGGCATGTGTTATTTGGATAATATATTTATCTAGAATTAAAATATTTTAAGAGAGATTTCTTTCTGTGATTACAAGTTAACATAAGTTCATTTCGTTTATTAAGTGGATTTCAGTCATTAATATTTTTGCGGATGAATCTTTTTTCTAGCAAACACAGATTTCATCAGTCACCGCAGCTGGAAAAGGGTGTAGTTCTGGCGATGAAATTCCAATTTACTACTGGTGTATATTCATCTGTTTTAATGTCCCAGTAAAATTTTGAGAGTGCCATGGCATTTGCATATTGTTTATTGTTAAGAGACATTTTATGATGATAAAATCTTTCCAGTTGTTGGCTGTGGAACTAAAATAAAACTTGGTCTCACCATTATGTTTAATGTTATCCTTGTAGATGATGCCTGATATGGTTCATTGGACAGTTAATGCCTTTTCAGCAATTACACTTTTTTCTCATGTTAATATTGCTATTGGGGTTGCTTAAGTATTTGTTTAAAGTTACATTATTATGCTGTGCTATATGTTACTCAAGGTTTCTAGTGCAGCTGTAACTAATCTTAATATTGTTCTTATTGAAGATTTTATGGAGTAAAGGGTTATGGCTGAAATGTTTGTGTATTAAATTTAGGAAAATCTTACTGATGTTGGTTTTGACATTCCTGTTGAAATGTGAGTTGAACCAAATTATGTTGCATTTTCTATTCTTACATTTATTATTGGCATTCTTACTAATGCTTGGAATGTATTGTAGTTTAACTCTGTTTATTTTTATTTAGTGCATCTACATATTTAGTTTTATATTTGTCAAAAATAATTTTGTTGCTAGAGTTAGCTGAGAGTCTGTGCTGTGCAAGTTATTTAAAATTCCAGGTGGGGAGTTGGATTCTTTTCTAATGTATTTATGGTTATAAAGCTCTTTAGCACTGCATGTGCACTCCTCTGGATAGATTGAAAGTAGTGTCCAGAAAGTTGATCACCTTGGCATTGGTGTTAGTTGTGATATTAAGCCTGTGATCCTTGAAGAATTTGAAGAGTTGTTTCCTAAACCTGTCTGTTTGTTGTGGATTAGCATTATGTAGAAGGATAACTCCATCATCTCTGTATAAACCAGTGTTCTTACTTTTGATAGTAAGCTTCATTTTTTTTACAATAGCCCCCTACCCACACTCTACATTCTGTATTTATACCCCAATATTATATTAAGTTTATATTAAATTTGAGCTTTGAATCTGCATTTAATTTTGTGTTCCTCCTATGGGACCCAGTATTTATTTTTAATCAAAAGTAATAATTTGTACCTGATGAGTTGGTAGAACAATAAAACTTTAAGTTGCACTTCAAATGTAGATAATTGTGTATGTATATATATGTGTGTGTGTGTGTGTGTGTGTGTGTGTATATATATATATAAATAAAGTGATGCTAAAAGGTTTTCAGCTTGATCCGCTTATTAAAATTTGATCAGACATCAAAAGTTTTTGGAAGAGTCTCTTGGTTGGGCCAAGAAGTGTTCAGCACTTCCATCATATAAGTATGTATGGGTATATATTTATATTTGTAAACAGATGTACATGGAATTTTTAAAATGTCTCACAGACTATCTGACTATCCTTATTATAGAGTTGAAGATGAGAAAGCAAAGTTATTATTACCTTCAAAGATGAAGGAAGGTTTTCTGATGTAACATCAGCAATCCGATTTGCACTCAGAGTTAACTCTTTGAGGTTCTTCAGTTTCAACAAATCAGGATCAATTTCTATGACCTGATAAAAAAAAAAACAGTAAAAGATTTGGTTATATTTTCCTCCTTTCTTCACTGAGTATCCCACTATTTATCTTTTTCTCTCATTGTGTTCTGTATTTGAGAAAAGAAATGAAAGCAATGCTAAATTACAAAAATTATAAATCTAACCTTCTTACCACTTCCTCATATTTTACCAACTTTTATCCAATATATTGTTTTTCTTCCTCTTATATAGTTATAGTTAGGTAGTGACTAGTGACAATATATTTTTGGAAAATGAAAGAAGCATGATATAGATATGCAAGCAGATTTAAATAAGGGTTAAAATAAAAGCACATGTGATAAGTTTTGCAGGTCATTTGCTAATGTAATGAGTTCAGTCCTCATTACCTAATGCCAAACAGAAGATTTCAAGCAAATTCTACACATATAAAAAGACCAAAGTATTAAAGAGAAGAATTATAATGAAAGAAAATTTGATTCTCAAAATGACTGAAATAATATTATAATTTATAATATTACAATTTGATTATTATTAAATTCAAAATATAAAGACAGTCTAAAAATATAAATTACAAATAGAAAAAATATCTTACATGAAAAGTAGGTTAAAAATTTGTTTTATCAATCTTTTGCCAGGAGAATTTAGTCATGATAAATGCAATAATGACAGAATTTACAAAAAATAGTTTGCAAGATAAACCCACCAAACACTACCTATCTGGTGTTGTTATTTGTGTTATTTAATTTATATAATTCCTTTATGAAATGGTAAATTTATTTTCCTATTTAATTTCTTTTATTCATTTCTCTTGATTCTCTTTGATTTACAAAGATATTAAATTTTCCTTTTTTCTGTTTATTATGCTAGCATTTTTTCCAAAGGATTTTTATTTATATCTTTTACAATATCAATATTATGGCATAAAATAACAATAAACAATACCTGATTACTACTTTAGTTCCTATCACTTTTGTCATGAATGCATATGATTGCACAAGAGTACAAACAAAACAATTTGTTTTGTGATGCCTGATGTGTTGCTTGAAGTCACTGTGCAGAGAGCAACTTTTTTATTTTTAATTTTGTTTTTGTAACGTTCACATCTGGCTGACAGGTTTTGATGTGTAGGGAAACAGAAAGATCTAGTTTGAAGCAAATTATAACACTTTGCTGATGACAAGATGATCAAATTTAAAATCTAAATTGTTTGTCCATTTAAAATACCTTATTCAAAAATATATATGCAGTTTAAATACAGAAAGATTCATAAAACTGTCTTCAAAAGGCCACACATTTCTTGGGCTTATACTCTTTTGCTGTTACCCAAGGGTCCTTGTCATATAGAGAATTAGGCCACATGACACTATGACATGGCGGGTTCACTTCTTATCTAAAGAAATTCTATTTCTTTAGTGATTTACACTTTCCACTCTTTTTGACAAGTGAAATAAATCAATTCTCTTAACTTTCCCTTGTTCCTCGAAACCTTAAAAATATTATCTCTCCATCAATTCCCTTTCATGTCTTTGGTCACAAAGAGACTTTTCAAAATCCCACACTTTAAATTATCCAGATGGCCTTTTAGGCTAAATTCCTCAAAATAATAGCCATTTTATTTCAATTCAGCCCCACTTCCTCCCTCAGTGTTTATTCATGGAAAAAAACAAACTTTCTGAAGTTAATAAAATCTTACTTCATTTTTTTTGGTATATCTAATGGGCTATCCCTTAATCCTTTCACTACCTGCTAATAGTGTCACATTATGATAGATGTGAATATATTTCTATAAATATATGATTGACATAGACAGAAAGCCAATACATAGACATAAATGGACTGATATCTATAGATAGAAAAGTGAAATAATTATCAATAAGATGTAAGAAAAAGGCAAGCTGATTTTTTAATTTTATTTCACAGCCATATCCACATGTAATTAAAGAGACAGTATGACAGGTATTAAGTTTTTGTTGTCTCACATTTTTTTTACTTTGTTTTTATTGCTCAGTCCAGAGTAGGGATTACCCAGACTGAGTGGGAAGGTTACATATTATTCCAATGCCTTATTTAAAATTCAGTCAATTTGTGAGTGTATCTGCATGTGAGTATATTAAATAGCACAAGCATATGTAAGTCACTCACATACAACCCACATACTTATGCAAGTAACATACAGTGTGTGATGAACAGAGAATCAGCTCTTTTATAATAGAGATTGTTTTATAGAAAGTTACAAAACTCATTGTGCCATTTTAATTTTCAGTTTCACTTTCATACAAGATATTTTGATATAATGGGCAATTTCATTTTCTTTCTGTTTAAATTGAAATAAAAATATTAACAAATAAAATGGCTAAAAAATTTTAAGTTCACTTGGTATTTGTTGTGTTCATTGGATTTCACTTTTGTCACATAAAGCCTCATTTAAACAGGCTAACTGAAATAAATGCTGAAAGTAGTGTAAAAGTTTGATAATATTCTGAGGCTAATTTTTTTTTTTTTTTTTTTTTTTTTTTCCCCAGCGTTTCACCCCAAGCAAGGGTCACAGGAAGCCACTAGGACAAAAGGTTACAGAAGATTTGGAGCAAGATCAGATAGGAGTGATAGAGGAAAGGATGAGGAGAAGGATAGTGGATAGATCAAGGCAACTGGAGATATTGATTGACATTACATTTAATATCAATAATCATGTGTTGATTACCTATCTATACTTGAATTTTTAAATTACTTTCATCGTTTGTAAATAATGTTTTGTTAACAAAATCAATATTTCAGATTTGTTAATCACACATTCAATCACCCATTATATATAACAATTGCATCTAGCATGAAACAGCCTGTCACCTCTGAGTGTTGACTTCAATTTTCACTTTTATATTTATATACGCACTATCCCTGATATTGAGCACATTATCCAATAAATATAGAACACACTAAAACTGCATTTCTTCATATATATATATATATATATATATATAGTATGTGTGTAAAAAATTCAGATATAAATAAAATATATCTGTAAAGACAATATAAAGAAAAGATAAAAGGAAAAATTTTCTTTGCCAATGCATTTTGCTCCTTGAGGAACCTTATCAAGGTAAATGCAGAATTTCTGGTTAAGGTTACTGATATCAGTTTCTTCTTTGCTAAACCAGTTTTCTTTGTAGTCTTTCTTATGAACTATCATCTTGGTAATAGATTTGTTACTTTCATAAATGAAGTAGAGAAAGTAAAGTCAATTCTCTAAAAATTGTTATACTATATAAAATGCAATGTCTCTTTGAATCTTGTTCTTTTATTTTCCTCTTTCCTTGATGTTTTCTGTTTTATTTTCAAGTAACCCCTTGTATCTTAGTGGTTTTATCACCTTGCTTGGAGTGAAAACATTAAAAAAAAAGAAAAATCTAGCTATTGTAATCAGCATTTTGTGCATATGAATGTAGTTTGTGTAAGGATATATGTATGTATCCATTGTATACCAAGCTATGGCAGGTTTGTATATGATTTAAACACAAGTTTTATTCTAGAATTAGGAATACATCTAATAAAACAGGAGCTGCTGTGAAAAGAAAACAAAAACAAAATTGATCATTATTTAAAATCAAGAAAAAGTAATGTTTCTATATCCTTAAATTAAGTTAAATATTTGGAAATATCACTAGATTTTGTAGTCAGTTATTCTTATTAATTTTGTTGTTTCCTTGTGTTGTTAATCTGTGTTCTTGTTTATAGCTTACTATGGGAATCAAATGAAATTAATAACTTGGCATTCTAAGGTTGTGACATATGGAGATTAATGTGATAAATTAATCAGATTTGTTTGTAACAGTGAATATCAACAGTTCTAATTTTGATTGAGTTTTGTTTACTTAACACTAATGCCCTTCAAATAGACATGATACCATCATCCTCTAGCTATAGGTTAAATATTAGAGTAGACTGGACTCTTTAGCCTTGGTAGTGTAACTCATTCATACAACCTATTGCCTACCATAAACATAAACACTCTGTTCAATAATTTTGTTTCCCCTTCAATAGTCTCTACAAAACAATCCTCAAAAGACTGAATACATTATCAAAACTAAAAACATGGATTATAGATTAAATTATTTTGTGATGTTGAGTTAAAATAAATTCTAAATCATTAAGAACATTATTCAGATTACATATTACTTTAAAATATAAAAATAACTGCTAAAAATATGCTTTTAGATAAACATTATATAATTAAAAAAGAAGAAATAGATTTTGTTAACATTTCAATATTTATTTGTATTCTATAGGATACAAATCCTATATCGTTCAAACAAGTGACTAAAAAACACAAAGTAGATTTGCATACCTGCAAAATCGGATCAAAACAACCAAAAACAGATTTCACAATAAGTGTGAAATTAATTTTCTGACCAATGAAAGGAGGCGATTTGCTAAACCAAAAAAAAAGATAACGAGCCAGTGTGAAAAAAAGTCAACAATAAATACAGAGTTTTCAAGTCAGTCGCCAGTCAGTCAGAGAAAGGCGCAAAGATCACAGAAGATTGACAGTAAACTTCATCACTGACTCGACCCGACACTAAGAGTCGAAAGTGGATTAGGAAAGAAAAACAACAACAACAACAAATTTACAACTGACTCCAAAACAATTCATAAGTACATTTTCTTTTTATCTTTATTCCTCATTCACACTCTCTTTTTCAACTTAAATTGATAGTCCCTTTTTCCTTTACACATATACAAAAACAAAACAAACAGACATTACTCTGCTACTCAGTTAAAAAACAGCGAACACAGACATTTTTATCAAAATCATATTTTTGCTTAAACGAACTAAAGCATTAATCTTTTTTACCCTATTCACAAGATAATAAATATATAATGTTCCATTTTCTACAAATGTTCCTTATCGTGTTGTTCATTCTTGAAATTTGCGTTGTATTTTGTGGGCAGGGTATCCCGTATTAAATTCTCCTTTAATCCGGGTATGCTGAACCCCACAAGTGGTGACCAATCGACGTGAAATGAACTCGCAAATTTCCAATTGAAAGAAAAGCTTCAACAAAATAAGCAACACATTTTTTTAACATATAACCATAATCATCAAGACACATTGAAAATGGATACACACACTACGGAACCTATGGAAGCCGCTATAACAATTAACTTACCAACTTACAACCCAACTAACGTACAAATTTGGTTTGCACAGTTAAATGCAATTTTCAATGCAAAGAAAATTACATCGCAAAGTTCAAAATATGCCTACGTTGTCGAAAAACTTCCCGCAGATGTAGCATCCGAGGTAGTGGATCTACTTAATGACATGCTGGAAGTAAAACCTTATGACAAGTTGAAAGCTGCAATTATTAGACATGTCGGTAAATCGGAGGAAAGAAGGTTACACGACTTATTCAATAATGTGAACCAGGGATATAGGAAACCTTCACAGCTTTTAAGAAAAATGTGATCCTTATTAGGAGACAACACCATGTCCGAAGTGGTGTTAAAGAAACTGTGGACGGATAAACTACAAACACATACAACACAGATACTCGCATCACTCCCCGATGATTTACAGCTGGAGAAAATAGCAGAAATAGCAGACAAAATACATGACAACAACCAAGACAAAAATGTATACGCCATATCACATGCACCAACAGATACAACAACATTACCAGACAAATCATCTGAATTGTCGCAGCTGTATAAGCAAATGGCGAATCTCAGCTTACAAGTACAGAGTCTGATACAAGCACAGAAATCTCAGCGTTCGCGTCCAACATTCAGAAATAGATCCTACTCACCACACAGATGTCGAAGTAGATCGAACTCTTTCTCCAGAGATCAAATTACACACGATACCTGTTGGTATCATTATAAATTTGGAAGAAATGCAAGGAAGTGCACTGAACCAATTCAAAAACTTCTCACATTTCTACACAACACCAGGGAAATGACTATGCCAGCAGCAAGTAAAGACGACATTAGCTGCTGGATTAAAACAAGAGAGTCGTCTATTTTACATCCGGGACAGAAGTAACGGATATTTATTTTTAGTCGACACTGGCGCTCAGATCAGTGTTATCCCACCAAATACAAAACAAAAGCCTACATTCTCCACATACACATTGCAGGCAGCAAATGGATCAAAGATAGAAACATACGGTGAGATATCACTAACGCTTGATTTGGGTCTAAGAAGATCTTTTCCATGTATTTTCACACAAGCAAATGTGAAAACACCTATCCTAGGAGCGGATTTCCTATCCTATTTCGATTTATCAGTGAATATGGCTACACACTCTCTCATTGACAGTAACACAAACCTAAGAACAAAGGGAATCACCTCAATCTACAAGTCAACGGGAATTAGTTCAGCAATATCGACGGCTAATGGCCTACATGAATTGATAAAAAAATTTCCTACATTAACCATGCCTTTAAAACATACAGATGAAATCTGTCACACTGCTAAACATTATATCACCACAGCTGGACCACCTACACACACATCACCATGCAGATTACATCCGGACAAATATAAAATAGCAAAAGACGAATTTCAACACACCTTGCAGTTAGGCATCATACGTCCTTCAAATAGCCCATACTCCTCTCCGCTACATATGGTTCTGAAACCAGAAGCTGGCGCATGGCGACCTTGTGGGGATTTTAGGAATCTCAATGCAAAAACTGTTCCTGATAGATATCCTATACCGCACTTACATGATTTTGCCATAGGTTTGCAAGGAACCACAGTTTTTACAAAATTGGATTTGGTTAAGGCGCACTACCAAATTCCAGTAGCAGAAGAAGACATAAGGAAAACTGCAATTACCACTCCTTTTGGACTCTATGAATTCACCAGAATGCCATTTGGGTTACGTAATGCCGCCCAAACCTTTCAAAGACTCATTGATGAAGTTTTGAGAGGATTGCCTTTTACCTTTGCATATATCGATGACGTGCTTATCGCCAGTTGTGATGGAAAAGAACACCTATACCATATTCAACAAGTCTTCGAGAGACTGGCACATTTTGGCTTAAAGATAAATGTCCACAAATGCGATTTTGCTGTTTCAAAGTTAAATTTCTTGGGCCATGTGATCGACAAAAATGGAATCACACCTGTTCCAGAGAAAGTAGCAGCAATACAAAACTTTCAGCAGCCGACATCACTGCGTCAATTAAGACGATTTCTCGGTTTAATAAATTACTACCGTAGATTTATTCCATGTTGTTCCAGAATTTTGACCCCACTCACAAACTTGCTGCAAAAACAGAAGAAGAAAAAAGAAGAAAAATGCAAAAATACTGATTGACGGAGAAGCATTAGCTGCATTTCAAAATGCTAAAAAAGTGTTAGCAGATTTTACCAAGCTCTCTTACATCAGTGACGATGCTAACTCAACACTTACATTGACAACTGACGCCTTAGGAGATTCAATTGGAGCAGTTCATCAGAAGTTAAATGGTTCAGAAAAGCCAATCTCCTTTTTTTCAGTCAAATTAAAAAAAGCACAGCAGAAGTACAGTACCTTCTCAAGAGAGTTACTAGCTATTTACTTAGCATTAAGGCATTTTCGACATTTGCTCGAGGGATGAAACTTTACTATTTTCACAGACCACAAACCCCTCACTTACGCTTTACATGTGAACACAGATAAATACACACCCAGAGATACCCGACAACTGGACTACATATCCCAATTTACATCAGATATCCGCTATATTAAAGGTTCAGACAATATCATGGCAGATACACTCTCGCGCTCCACGATACAATCTATCGATTCTGAAACCCTTACTTTCGACCTCATTGCAGATGAACAAAAGGAAGATACCACATTATACAAAATAAAAGAGGACACTTCTTTACAATTGAAGGAACACCCCATCCCATTTGGAACAAAAACACTACTATGTGACATTGGGACTGGTTATTCAAGACCATATATTCCACCTTCATTGAGAAAAAAGATATTTCTGCATTTTCACAATCTCTCACATCCCGGACACCGAGCAACCGACAAGTTGATTAGCAGTCGTTTTATCTGGCCAAACATGCATACTGACATAAAAAGCTGGATTCAAACTTGTTTAAAGTGCCAAAAAAGCAAAATAGACAGACTAAAACCAAGCGTACTTGGATTTACCTACAAAGGAAAGTACGTCGGAACATTCTACAGCCGAGACAAATACCAACGTAAGTGAAACATTTTCTACACCTCCAAATACACCTAAAATCATTACCACAAGATCGGGTAGACACATACACTGGCCTACTCATTTTAAAACATATATTAGATATTGAAAAATATTTTCAATATTTATCAATCTGCAGGGGGGTTTATAGTATACAAATCCTATATCGTTCAAACAAGTGACTAAAAAACACAAAGTAGATTTGCACACCCGCAAAATCAGATCAAAACGACCAAAAACAGATTTCACAATAAGGTGTAAAATTAATTTTCTGACCAATGAAAGGAGGCGATTTGCTAAACCAAAAAAAAAGATAACAAGACAGTGTGAAAAAAAAGTCAACAATAAATACAGAGTTTTCAAGTCAGTCAGAAAAAGGCGCAAAGATCACAGAAGACTGACAGTAAATTTCATGACACTAAGAGTCGAAAGTGGATTAGGAAAGAAAAACAACAACAACAAATTTACAACTGACTCCAAAACAATTCATAAGTACATTTTCTTTTTATCTTTATTCCTCATTCACACTCTCTTTTTCCACTTAAATTGATCGCCCCTTTTTCCTTTACACATATACAAAAACAAAAGAAACAGACATTACTCTGCTACTCAGTTAAAAAACAGCGAATACAGACATTTTTATCAAAATCACATGCTTAAATGAACTAAAGCATTAATCTTTTTTACCCTATTCACAAGATAATAAATATATAATGTTCCATTTTCTACAAATGTTCTTTATCGTGTTGTTCATTCTTGAAATTTGCGTTGTATTTTGTGGGCAGGGTATCCCGTATTAAATTCTCCTTTAATCCGGGTACGCTGAACGCCACAATTCATAGAAATAATGAACAATAAATAAATTTACATTAAAATCTCTACAGAGAATACACAGCATCTCTCAATAATCAAAAAAAAATGTTAAAAATGATTTGTTTGGTTGTTTTTTGGTGGACTGCTTCAATTTTATTACTTACATTTGCATTTCTGATTGTAAGGGTTTTGAAATAAGAGCAGATGAAGTTTTCTGTAATCTTGTGAGGTGCTGTTATGGCAATCTGTCTTAGTTTAGCTGCTTCATTGCTCCAACTGCAGTCTGTACTCCAAGGAGAGAGGGGTGATGTGGCATATTCTAATAGGGTCTCCACACGTTCATATTTAACATCATAATCTAAAACAAAATGAGGCTCATAAAAATTGCATGCAATCAGATTTATAAAGGACTAAAAATAACAATTTACAATATTAGTGGAAGAAGAGAAACTAAAAAGGAAAGTAGGTAGCATTAAATATTTTTCACTCAATTACAATAGAGTAAGTGTCACATCAACTAAACTGATGTTAATGATCTTTCTTATTTTCTTATTATAATAGTGATGATTTAAACTTTGGTGATAGGTATGAGGAGTTATTAAAAGGTTCTGAAGGTTGACACATTTTCTAAAATCTGACTGAATGACTTCACATTAAATCTTTTTAACTCCTTCTTGGTTAGAATATATATTTCATAGTGATTTATAAAGCAACTGCATATTTCTTTATATTTGCAAAGCTTATTTAATTTAATATATAGCACAAGGTGAAAAGAGAGGAAATAAGGTGAGGAAGGCTGTTTTATGGTGTTGTTACAGGTAACAAAAACAATGAATATGAAAAGAAAAGAACATATTACAAGAAAACAAACTTTAAACTAGAGAATGTGTTTGTGTGTATGAAGCTTGTGTAGAAGTTTGAGAGAAAAGTAATTGGAAGTGAAGTGAACGTGTGTTTCCTGGTTGAGGATACATTTTTTTACCATGTGCGAACTACATCTTGTTGTCTAAGAGAAAAATAGAAAAGAGAGCATGACAGATAATGTCACTGCCTATTTATAGGCTAAAGGAGTATCCCCTAGTGACAGTTTTTTAGTAAAGTTAAGTGGGGTAATCTATGGTGTCAAGATTTGCCTGCCTTGAAAATCCTCACCCAAAGTTCTGGTTTTTACCTGGTCTTGAACACATAAAATTATATATGCAATAATCTGCTAAGGTCCAAATTTGGTTATTTTATATTGCTAAAGAAAACATACTATGTTTCATTTCAGACAAAAAGAAACAAGAGTCTTTTCTTTTATGAATAAGAAAATATTTGAACCTTTTAAAGATATTGCAGAGATTTCTTCTGGACATAAAACATAGCCTGCTTTATTTTCAATCTGTGGTTTTTCTCTCTGAAACAAAAAATAGGAATTGGATGAAATGATTGTCCAAAAGTGAGAAAATATAAATAAATTAAAAGCCAAAAGAAATAAAAAATAAATAACCCAGTACATTTGAATTTATAAAATATTTCTGATCAGAAATGGCAACACCAACTATTTCTTGCTATTTCAGCCTTTTCCAATCTGCTTTGACACAGGTTATAAGAAGTTAAAAAGTTGAACATTAAACATCAGTGACTTTTTACTCTAATTATTCTTGGGTTGATTTGCATAGACTGTCACACCTGCAACTTTACAACAGTGATTTTTTACAATAGATTGTGAGAAGGCTTTTGTTTTATGATGTCCAAATTATTGGAATTAAGAATAATCAATCAGAAAAGATTAATCAAGCACAGGATAAAATGATGACACTAAATGACTAAAGAAATCACTAACTCCTTCACCCGTAAGGGTCACATGACCATGGCTATTTAAATACTAAAATCAAAAGATTCATTCTCTTTTTCTTCCTCCACTCTATTCAGCTGGCACAAAGCAACACAGCTTTCTTCATTACAAGCCTGTTCATTAGCGTCAGGTTATAGAAGAATGAGACTGGCAACTTCAAGAGAAATTACTACTACCTAAAGAAGCTAGCCAAGAACTGAAAGGGACTTATTCAACAAGGAATGTTGACAAGATACCTGGACGCCTTTTCTCCTAAGCTAAATCTGCAGACACACATTGTCTGTAAACACTTCTTTTTTCATTATTTCTGTTTTTTCTATTTGGATATTAAAAATATTAAAACAGTGTGTTATGCTTCTTTCTCTTCAAAAGCTGTTGCCCAGTTTATTTTAGCAGTCTATAAACTTGGGTTTTTATTTTGGATATAATCATCACGGCATAAAACTTTTTCATTCAAACATTTGAATTCATTTAATTGATTTATTATATTTGCTTATCTCTTGAGGCTGTGTGTGTGTATGTGCATCTATAAGAGCAGTATGCTAATCAATGTATGGAAGTAATTCTTGTTTAACTTGGATGCATCAATATAAATCATCAAGTGAATGCACATGGACATTTTCAAGTGAGAGATGCCCTTTTAAAGCAGAAATGGTTGCAATTAAAAAGCATGCATCATAAATTTCTGAATGCATTTTCAAAGGTAAAATAAAGGTTTCTTTGTGGATGAAAATCAAGAATGTGTTTTCTCATTGAATAAACAACTATGAAAGAAAATTAACATGAATCGGTGAAAACAATCAAGGATGATGCACTGAACATTCTATTATTTGTTTCTTAGAAAATATGCTTTCATAAAATCAGTTGGTTTTGAAAGAAATAACCTTTAGTGAAAGGAGATTTTTCTTAAGTTGTTTCTTAATCTGAAAGTCAGTGTAGAAAAACAACAAATTCAAGTTAACACAAACATCCAAGCTTACAGTACATGATATTCCCAAGCATTCACCCATCTAGGTAGTGACTAGGCTGTTGTTTAACTTCAGTGATTGTATAAGGATATAACTGTAAGCTCTGTATCACATGAAGGCACCTTTTTGTGATGGTTATGGTCAACAAGAAGCAATAGTTCTTTTTTTCATTAGTGAATATTATAACCGTACCATTCTCAGGTTTAAGGGAAATTTCTAATTTCAATAATGGTTTGTTTTAAATTTCTGTGTTTCTGGTGTTTTAACAATTGTTAAGTGATTATATGATTTATATTGTGTTTTATAGTAAACTGAACAATGTTTCATGTATATATCTTTATTAACTGTCATATCTGAGTAAAATGATGATGTCTATTTACATATGTCCCTATGATGGTTGCTACCTCATTGTCAAGTATGACCATCACAAGATATTGTAAGGCCTAGTTGTGCTTTCAACTTGTGTTGCTCTTTAAACCAGATAAACTTTTAAAACATAAGGCAGACATGAGACATAAATTTTATTGTCTTTAGATCTAGTTTGTGAATGTTTGCATGTCTTTTCAGTTTACAACCTGACTTGCAAGACTTTCCACAGATATGATATGAATTCTTATAACTTAAGTAAAGCTTACCACAAACATAAAAAGTGAAGTCATGCTTGTCCCCTTATATGGTCTGGAAGTTCCACATCATGACCATTTCATCTTTTCTTTTGTGATCCAAGAACTATTAAAATCAACCTTTCCATCATGAACACATATGTAATGAATGACTTCTTTTTGTGTGGTGTCTTTAATGATTTCTAAGGCTTGTCCTACTGAGACAGAAATGACCACATACATTACATGAATTTTGTAGCAAGATTTTCAGGGAAATTAATATAGTGTGTATGTATGCATGTACGTTATTATGGATACAGGACTTTATAAAGATGACAGTGTAATTTTACTCCACAAAGCAAGTCCAATAAACACAGATTAATTAAGAAAGGAACTGATTAAATTCTTCAAGGATCATATCATGAACTAAAAATTACAACAACTAATGCTAAAATGATCAGCTTTATTGACGTGACCTTGGACTTGAATTTATGGTAATTACACACCATATACTAAACATAGACATAACCATAAGTCTGTTAACAGTGAATCTAATCATCCTCCCATTAAAACATTTACACAAATTGGTATAATATAGATTATCAACTAACTCCAGTAATAAGGAAATATTTGATGAAAATAAAATATATAAAAGCCTTAGAACAAATCAACCACAAAGTAAATATAGAATAATTAGGAAAAAACAAAAGAGGTAGAAATAAACAGAGACACCATAACATGTTAAAGAAGATTTTTAATAAAAATAACAAAGATTGGCTATGGCTGCTTTGGATATATCAAAAAATATGTATCCCACATAACAATATTATATTGAATAATTATATCAGCAGCAAAAAAAAACAATGTAACTAGCATTATAAGTAATAAATGTAACTGCCAAAATGATAAGCTTTGTCTCCTAAATGGCAAATGCATGAATAAATTTTACTTTGGGTTCACTGAAACTCATTGGAAATTTTCAATCTAATAATCACAAGATGACTGAGTAATGAAAAATACAAAAAATAATACTACTCTCTTTAATCATTTCTGACAATTAAAGAAGGGTAGCATAATTATGTTGGACATGATGATAAAAACCAAATCTTACAATGGGAAAGGCAAAAGATGGATGTAGAAATTTTTACAATATTAAAATATTTAAATAACATTAATTTATTAAACAAGAGAAATTAATGGTCACATGTAGGCATAAAAACAAATACCTGTTGAAACCAAATTGATTTCAACTAAAAACTATACTTTCCTTTTTTGATTTATTTTCTTATTTTAGCTTTAGTTTAATATAATATTTTTGTATGAGTGTATAATCATTAGCTTGGTTTAATTTATAGCTACTTGTATGTATATCTTAGTTATATATATATATATATATATATATATATATATTTTTTTTAATTCCTTCTTATATCTAATAATTATATTAAATACATGTTAGACACAATTGGTCTTCCATGTATTGTGCCACTATATATATATATATATATATATATATATATATATATATATATATATATATATATATATATATATACCTACATACACATACATATAAAAATAAATATGCTTATGATTATTACCCACCAAAATACAAACTTATATATATTGGATTTAGAGGGTAATAATCATAAGAATAAGTATATATATATATATATATGGTGTGTATAAGTATATATATATGTATTTTTTATGTGAATATTGTATCACAATAAACACAAACTTAATCTAGTAATTTTGTAAATGTGGTTATTCATAAGTATCTATAAGCTGCTAAATATTGTGAATTTGAGAAACTGAGATCAGAACACCAGTCAGTCGAAGAGGATTTTATCCAAATGAAATTGGTAAACAGCCTTCAAAATGAGGAGTATTGGTAAATGATTCTAATGCACTTACAACTGGGAAAGTTGTCACTAGAACAGTGTGTGGAATTTGTTCAGCAACAAGAATTGGAAAATTTAAAACAAAAATTACAGATCTGGTATAGAAAATGGACACATATGTGATAAAGAAAAAAGATAAAATAATATGTACTTATTGTGGATATCAACATCAAAGAAAAAAAAGAAAAATATCCAGCATGTAAAAAATAAAATGTGAAAAGTTTGTTTTAAATTCTATAGACCTTTAGAATTCATATTTAATCCTAGGAAGAAACTTCCTAAGGTAATGTCTTCTAGAATTTTAAGATGTCTCCTATATCATCTCATCATCAAAAAATGCTCAAACAAAATTAAAAAATTAAGTTAAAAAAAAATGACATCAAAATCTATTCATACATGTGTATATGTACACATTCGTATATAAATAAAATATATCTATAAAGACAATATATTTTAAAAGAAAAGACAAAAGGAAAATTTTTCTCTATTAACATGTTTCATTCCTTGAGGAAATTTATCAAAGTAAATGTGGATATTTTATTTTGTAACTTGTCTTTATAAACAAAAGTAACATGGAGGCAAGATGCTGTTAAGTTTTCAAGTTTTGACTTTGAGAATGCTTTAAAATATTCTTAAAGCTTGCTGTGGAAGGCAAGGTAAACTATAGAGGATGTTAAGTGATGTAATTTATTTTCTACTGAACAAAAGTGAGTAAATATAGCAGTTGAATTTGGAAGAAAAAGTGGTGAGAGCAAGCATATATAAAATAAGCTGTCACAAATGTCCCTTATATTGGTGAAACTTGTAGAAATTTAAGAAAATGTATTTAAGCACACGAGAAAGATCTCCTACAGAACAATTTATCCAATGTACAGAAATAATTTCAATCACAACTTCAATATGAATAATGCCATACTTATTGAAAGAGAAAATAACTTAATTGAAAAGTTTTTTAAATGCAGTTATCGATTCTTGACAAATTTATTTTAATTATCTCCTTTCTTAAAAGAAATACTTCTCAATATAAATCATTTATTCAATTTTAGCATTAAAAAGGATTAAAAGAAAAGCTTTAAATATTTAAA